GCTCGACGACACGAACACGGCCAAGGAGCTTATCGCTGGAGGTGCGCACGGATTGCATATATGCTTGTGGCTTCCCGCGGGTTCATCGAGTGTCGCTGCATTTCCACGAGGATGGCGATCGTGAGCATAGGGCTTCATGAGCCGAGAGGTGGTACCATGGCTTGTTCCGTCACGGGGTTGCAATATAGTGTTCCCAGGCCTTCTTCACCGCAACGCCGCGCGGGTAGGCCCGGCTCTCAAGGTATTTGATCGAAGAGCCACCGGCGTGTGCTGCACGGGGTGTACGTCGTCTGCTGGCGCGGGCGTGCCGGAACGAGCCGTGGATGCTGGGAGAGTAGCAGCATCAAAAGTGGGGGCCAAAGATTGATGATAATTGGTAACGATTCCAAAAAGAAGAGGGACGCGGCGAGTCATTCCAGCTAGCAAATTTCCCCAAGCCACATCCCAATCCTCTTTGCCCATGGCCGCGGGCATCTCGGAATTCCCGTCGTCGAAAAAGAGGGTCCTGTTTCTCAGCCCTTTACCCCCCTTCGGCTCCATCGCCGGAGCTGAGCTTAGCGGCGGCTCTAGTAGTGGTCCACGGACCCCCCCTTCCTCCGCCTTCCCTCCCTTCACAAACCCATCTTCAGCTGGTATGGTGCGTCGTTAGACGAGAGGTTGCATCGAGGACAACATCTGCCGCCAGCCATCTCGAGCAGATTGTGAGACTGTACCCGCTATCACGGACACCCAATTTCTCGAAAGCAAAGGCCAAGGCAGAGAGAAGCTACACGAAGCAATGACGAAGTCGGACGACGACCAAAACCGATGGCGTCGTTCTAGATGGCCAAAATGGCCGTCGCAGATTATTGCGGCGGCGGCGGCGGTGGTGGTGTCGGAGGATACCAATCTTCGGAGCCACGCAGCGGCAGTTGGCCGCTGTCGAGGGGGGGAAGACGGGGACACGGAGTGTGCGCTCATCAGCATCCCACGCGCGCCCACGCCAGTACTGCCCCGACTGGGAGGCGAAGCTGGCGGGCTGTTTCCGCACCGCGGGCGTGCGAGAAACATTCGTGAAAGGGTCCAGCAATAGTAGCAGTAGTGGGTCGGCGACTCTCTACGTGCGCAAATAAAAGGCCCGATGGATGGGTTTGCAACTAATCCGTAGAGAGAGGGGGATGGGTTGGCTGCGGGGTTGACGGAGGGATGCCCGCTCCCTCCCTGGAAAAGCACTGGCAAAAATAAAAAATCGAATGGAATGGCGCCCGCCGCCCTAACCACGAAATGCTGCTGCCGCCTCCGCACGAGGCATTCCTTCGCTCGCGGCATGCGATTGGGGGCGTTGGGCTCGGCGGATCGAGATCTGCACGCGGCTGTGGTGGAATATGTTTTTTTTCTCCTTGGCCAACGTTAGTCGGCGGGATGAGGGTCTTGGTGTCTGGATGATGATGATGCTGTCACTCACTCGCGGTCAAGGCTCCGCTGGCTTGGCTTGCTGAATGACACTTCCCGCTTTGATTACGTTGGAGTGACATCTTCTCTGCTTCAAGCTCCGATACAACAGCGCCTTTGGGCTGCTGCTCGTAGATCACAGAACGCTAGACAGCCTCGACATACTGCGCTACTATGGTGGCGGCATTTTGCCTCTTCAAAGGGTGACTCAAGGATACCGTCTCAAGCACGTTTGGAGCCACGGGATATGACGGTGAGGTGCAGCAATTGGACCTGCGGGTGCAAGCTTCCAGCATCATGCATGGTCTGTGGTTAGTGTTGAGGGGGACGAGGCGGTTGGTGCACCTCTGTCATGGAGTGAAACCCTGACAAATGCACTTATTTTAGCATAAGCGGCTACGGTGCACCCGTACCGTATCGTGTGGGTAGTGAAACCGTGTACTCCAGCTCGAAGGGCAACTGAAAGCCGCCACTGACGACCGTTCGAATTCTGGGACAGTCGCTTGCATCCTGCTTGGGAAGGCTTCCGGCCTTGGCTCATGGAATCGAAGCCCGTCGTTCAATGCTCCATGGTTTCTTTTTCTTTCCTACTCGCATATATCGTACCACCGCAAGCCAGCCCCATGCTGGCCCATGTTGAAGCCATGATGTTTAATCGGACTTTCCGCAGCATGGGTCGAACCACAATTCCCAACCCTCTTCACTTGCAGCCATAACGCCTCAACAACCAACAATTGTGAAACGCTACTAGGCAAAATAACATCTAGTAATTGCATGCGACCGCCTCTTGTTTTACTCTCACTGCCTCCCGCTGCAGACAGCGTATAGAAGCTCGGGCCAGCGAACATCTCGTTCGAAACTCTATTTTCAAGGAATGGGCCAACTCGGATCGAACCCTCGCCCTGGAACACTCTGCCTGACTCTCGTTGCCGTCTTTCCTTACCCCCTGAGCGCTATGGAGGAAACTTGCGGGGCTTCCGGGTTGTGGTGGCTACCACGTGCGCGTCTCACGGATCATGCTCGAGAGCGTGAAGGTAATCGTAGCACAGACCCTCAAGTGCAGCTTTTCCTCCGATCCCTCTTAGCCGTGCTCAAGATTTCCGTATGTTGTTCATGATCATGACCTCCTGTCCAAACCAAACAAGCGAAAGGACCCTATCAACTGAGGCTAACTCCAAGTCGCCATATCTGCCTGCACAGTCACACTGCTCGTCTATCCCAGATATTCCTCCCCCCTGGCTGGGACAATTCTACTCTCTCTCTCTCTCTCTCTCTCTGGCTTCGGACCGAAACAAAGGAACCTTCAAATATATCCCTTGCAGCCATCTCTTTGACTTGGGAGCTACATCTAGCCATATCTAGCCATACCTCTACAAGTACCGTTGCATGCTTCGTCAATGAGCGAATACGCACCCACGAATTTCATTCTGTACTGTACCAAGAGCGCTACAGTATATCGTGCAAGAGCCAAGTGCGTAATCGCGCTCGGCAGCTCGATACTAGAAACTTATCGTCAAGTAGCGATTTAGATAGCACAGAAATTGTTTGACAAGCCGTATGTCATAGAAATTGGGTGTCACATCGCTGTGTGAGAAATCATGTTGTCAACGGCACAATACTGTGATGGTATTTGGCCCGAGATAATAGTGATGGATGAAAATATCCCGTCAACTAGCTTATATTTCCCGTTGGTGAGTGGTGGAAATGCCATGAATATCTTCTTGGAACCATGTACTGTGTCGCTTTTCCCTCCTTTGTCCTGCCGTTGGAGCAGTGCAAGAGTGGCTCAATAGCCATGGGTAGTGGGAAGATATCTGGTTTTACTACCGGCAACCTTCCCCTCCGTAATGTTCATGTGTTGCAACAGATTATGGAGATCGATCGTATTGGATGCGCTTGATGCGTGATATAAGGAGCGAGAGGGAGGCGACCCGGTGGGTGCTCAATGCCCTGCTCTGATGATTAACCTATCTACGTCCACAAATATGTCCATACTGCAACATCATGAGAAGGGCTCAGCGAACGTACAGCTCGTGAATAACCATTCTCTCTCCGCTCTGAACCCAGCAATGTATAGTTGAGCCTTTGACTCAGCAGGCTCCATTTCCCAGTACAGTACGCGGCCGCCAGTTTGAGCTCATGCCCTAATCGTTGGTCCCTAGATTCGACCAAGGACCGGGTAACGACTGCAGATTACGCAACATGGATCATTCTTCCAGTGGATGACAAAAGGGATTGACCAACCTACATGGGCAGCTAAACCCTACATCTAAATACATTTATACTAGATATTTACTCGCATCTACATCCAGATATCTACTCCAGCTACTAATGAAGAGAGGCCGCTTCAACTACCCACGCCAAAGATCGTCGCGGTTGAATTTCTTTCGTCGCCCACTGTGTCGCTGTTATAATTCCTCGCCCTACCGTACTTAAACTTCGAGCACTTGACCAATTGCCCAGCATTTAGCACACCAACGAATTAAAGCGTTCCACCGCTAATCCCCAAATCCAGGAAAAGCTCAGTTCCACAATGGTGGCTTAGTCTCTTCAAGGGATGGATCGTTTGACCTACGGCGATTGCTTGCGTGGGCAGTCGAAGCAGGTACCCCGACGTAGCTGGAGAAATCATAAAATTGCATCCAGATATAGGATCCTACTACCTCTGTGAGATAGAATTAGGTAAGTTCAACGTCCTTTTGCATCCACTGTGAGACGAACATTGATCCTCAGTTGCTGAGCTGCGATCCAAGGCGGTTACGATAAGATACATGCAGCAATCATGCCGTCGGTCGTGTCGCACAGCAGAGTCGGGAAAGACGTACGATTGGGCGACACCTTTCTTTTGTCGCAGTATTTCATTTCAAGCATCTGATAAGCTGCTACGTCAGAGAAATGACTACGCAGATTGTTGGTGGTGGCGGGTGCGTCAACTTCATATCTGAATTCATTCTCCATCTCTTGCAGTTGATGAATCAGCATAGAGCAGATGGAAATGAGCGGCCGAACGACGGCAATGTGAAGCCTTGGGGATTAATAAGAGCAACATTCTCGCCGCCAAAAACTCTGAGTTTGGTGCGTATGTGTCCTACATGACCTCCAAGTACGTTGTGATATTATCTTACGGACAAAGAGCCTGTGGCATTCTTCACGAAGCATCCTATTCCGGAGATATGCTATCTCCAGCTCTACTCAGCCCTGGAAGACAAAACGTGTCAAGCCAACAATGAGTACTGCACATGGTCTTGTTGTCCGTCTGCTGATGGCTTCTTTACCCTGTTTAAACCTGTGGCCTACCAAAGGAAAAGCTCACACAAGCAGACTTGTCTGAGCCGTCGTGAGCGTCGACTTGGAAAATCCTCCGCACACAGTCCTTGAAACGTGAAAGTGACCGTTTTGCACAGACTCTGTTTCTGCTGCTATTGTCTCTTCGATATACGTTGCACACGACCGATTCTAGCTACGGACACCAATGCAGGAGTAGCCTACAGGTCCTCGATGCTCGAGGGATTTGATGGAGTGAAGACTCTGCGGCTGCGTTGACTGTATTTTGACCCGTAAATGGTTCTTCAACGCCCGGCCTGCTGTGCCTTCTTCTTTGGAAGATACGGGATGGATCGCTTGCATGGCTTCGGGGGCATGCGAATCGGGAGGAACCGGTCCAAATAGAGGTTGGACATGAGAGCGAATGAAGTGCTTGCGGTCCAGTACAGCAAGATACCAGCGGGCATGTTCAGCGTCAGGGGGCCGATGGCCAGTGCAATTGTCATCATAATACGCCTGATAACAGCCCAGGCTGGCTTCTGTTTTCTCCTACCCGGCGCCCTGGAGCTGACGTAAAGAGAGCACACGGTGACGCCGGAGACGACGAAAGGGAGGATCAAGAGGGGATCCGGGGCCATAAGGTCGGGGAACCAAAGCATACCCTCCGTGGCGAGCGACGGCTGTATCCAATCGCTTACGACGGCAGTGTCCGGTGTTGCGCCCTTCAACGTGTCAGCGACGCCTTCGATGGTGGCGTCGTCTTTGCCGAGGGCGTCAGAGGTCTTGGGAGCTTCAGATTGATAAGACCCAGAACCAAATACCAACCCCCACAAGCCACTCCTAGTGCCCACCATTCTCCGTATGGTCTCGGCCATGGCCACGAAGATAGGGAGACCGCATAACGGTAGCAAATGTTTCCAAGGCTGTGCTCTCCAGCGCTTCTTTATCTTGTGGTTGAACAAGGCTGTCTCCGTGCGGCTAACGTTTCGGGCTTTCTGGGCGCCCTCGTGGTAAAGTCTTAGATGGGTGGAGTGTTTTCTGACGATTGCATGCGCCTGCATGATGGGTAAGAGGTTGGTGGTGGTCTGTTGAGCTTTCCGGGCTGGAATTTGAAGGAACGGCGTGATGATGCAGGCGCGAACGAGGAGAGCGCCGGCGGGAAGAGCGACAGCCCAGCTCAGACCGCAGTTGTGCAGCACTTCGAACAAGCCCAAACACAGCTTCAAGCTGCCATCGGCGAAGCTGCCATCGGCGAAGCTGCCAGCGGACGTGAGATGTTCGGCGGCGGACATGCAGCGTGCTTGCGGCGGGTTCAGAGGGCGTGACCGGGCATTGCGGTAGATGTGGGGGCGGAGACGGGGCGGGAGGCCCAGGCGCAAGGGCGCAGCAGGCGCGGTTGTGGTGCTGCGCAGAAGCATGGCGGCGGCCGTGGTGGTTGTGGGCAGCAGAAAGGACAGTCGAAAGAGACGCGCGCCTTTCGCAACCGCGGCTCGGCCCGAGTCGCACCCTCTCGGCATCCCGACCGCCAGTGGCCTCCATCCGACGCCAGCGCCGCGCCCATGCACATGTGTCCTTTATTTTTGCGGCGGAGAGAAGCCGGCCGTGCATCTCGAGCAGAGGCCGGGCGAGTCTTGCTGCGCCGCCGCATGCACGGCCTGCGACTGCTGCGTCGCGCGGGCGGGCGGGCGCCGTGCAGGAACGGGGGAGACACGCAGAGCTGGCCGACGGCTGCCGCTGAGCAGAGGGCGATCAGCAGGTCCCGTGCGGTCGTCGTTGGGCGCTGGCCCGCTGGGTGACGCGCTGGCGATGTTCTCGAAGCTTGAGCCACTGCACATGATGCCGCGCGCTCTCTGAACACCTTACCTCCTCCGCCGCCGACGCGACCGCCCAGAACGCCCTTCGATGGTTCCAGCCCCGACCCTGCCCGCCCGCATGCGCCGGTGAACCACAGCCATGCTGCTCCCCATCGCCGCCGCAACCCTCGCCGTTGTGCCCTTCATCCTGACCTCCGACTCTGCCTCCAGCGCAACCGCCGCCAAGCTCTGCACCTTTCTCTACCTCCTCATCCGCCTCGTACCGCTGCTCGTGCGCCTGTCCGGCATCGCCATAGGCAAGAACATCCGCCAACGGACCCAGCAGCGCCGCGAGGCTTTGCTGGCCCGCGCCGAGCAGGACGAGAAGGACTTTGGCGCAACCCGCAAGAAGGATGCCCGCAGCGAGGATGAGGATTGGGAGAAGGTTGGAAGCCGCTCGTCCGGCTCGTCCACGCCTGGCGACCACCAAGACAAGGACTGGCAGGGCGTAGTCGGCTTCTTCCATCCATTCTGGTAAGCTCCGCCTGCCAGTGTGCATCAGCCCCAGGCTCACGCCGCCAACAGCAACGCCGGAGGCGGTGGTGAACGCGTGCTCTGGGCCGCCGTCCGCGCAACCCAGAGGCGCTGGCCCCGCGCCATCTGCGTCGTCTACACCGGCGATCACGACGTCGACAAGGCCACCATCATCCAGAAAGTCGAGGTACTTGGCTCCCCGTCTTGGTCTGGTCCCACGTGCTGATTGCGCCAAGGACCGATTCAACATCCAGCTCCACCCTCCGACCATAGCCTTCCTATATCTCAGCACCCGGCATTACGTGCTGAGCAGCACGTGGCCTCACTTCACTCTCTTGGGACAGTCGCTTGGCTCCCTGATCCTTGCCCACGATGCCTTTAATCTCCTTGTTCCAGACATCTTCGTTGACACCATGGGTTATGCCTTCGCGCTCGCCCTGTCCAAATTCTACTTCCCACTGGTCCCCACAGGCGCCTACGTCCACTACCCGACCATCTCCACCGACATGCTGGGCTCCTTGGACGCCTCGCCCGAGGAGAAGGAGGGCCTCCAGATCCGCGGTGTGAATGCGGGCACCGGACGAGGCGTCAAGGGCAAGCTGAAGAAATGGTACTGGGTCCTTTTTGCAAGGCTCTACAGCTATGTGGGCTGCTTCATCGACGTTGTCATGACCAACTCGACGTGGACCCAAGACCACGTACAGAAGCTCTGGGGGCCCCGGCCCAAGCGCGTCCCGTGCTTCGACTCGCTCGTGCTTTCGTTTGTGCTTTCACGGAAGGGTCTGCCCACGGAGCACGACTCTTATCCCATCGAGGTCAACTTCCCGCCCGTCGCCGTCGAGGAATTGACCGAGCAGATTGAGGTTTCCGACGCGACCGAGGCCGAGAGGGGACCTTACCTGCTCTACATTGCGCAGTTCCGGCCGGAGAAGAACCACCAGCTGATCCTGCATGCCTTTGCGGAGCTGCTCAATTCCTGGCCGAAGAATTCCGAGGAAGCGCAGAAGCCGAAGTTGGTCCTGATTGGATCGGTGCGTAATCCTGAGGACGCCACGCGCGTCTACAACCTCCGTCTCCTGGCGCACGAGCTGCGGGTCAAGGAATCGGTCGAGTTCATTTGCGACGCCACATGGCCGCAGATTCTCTCCTGGCTGCGACGCGCCAGCATCGGCGTCAACGGCATGTGGAATGAGCACTTTGGCATCGGCGTGGTCGAGTACCAGGCCGCCGGCCTGATCAGCGTCGTCAACGACAGCGGCGGGCCAAAGCTGGACATTGTGGTGGAAATTGATGGCAAGCCAACAGGTGCGCGAAATTTTTTTTGTTCCCCCCCTTCGATCCCATGCCATGTGTGTGCTGCAGCGTGACTGCTGTGTGGCACCCGCGATATTATTATATCGGGAGGGATCGTGTTTGCTAACTTGTGCTCTTCGCCAGGGTTCCATGCAACGACGGCAGCACAGTTCGCCGAAGGCTTCCGGCAGGCCCTGGCGCTGTCGGGACAGGAGACGCTGGAAATGCGGCAGAGGGCTCGGCGCAGTGCAGGCCGTTTCACGGAGGAGGTGTTTGCGAACAAATGGCTCGTGCAGATGTGCAGGTTGGTCGAGCTGCAGCGGACATTGCACCCGAGATGAGCGTAGACAGGGCAAGGCAGAATGGCATTGTGATGAAAGGGCCCTTTTTGGGGCTGCATTATTGTGGCAAAGCTGCAAGGACTGGAATGAAAATGGACGGAACATAGCAGACGCGCTTCACTGTGCATGACGGTGCTCCCCTCCCCACGACTCATCCCTAGGGCGAGGGGCGGCGCGGCAGCCAATGGCTTGCGCGGAAATGCTTTTGAGGCGGCAGAGAGAGCACGACAGCAGGCGGGGGAGGTTAGGAGCACACACATTGATCCAGACGCTCTGGGACACAACGTTCGAGGAATCAGACGTGTGGACAAATGCCTCGACTCGGGTCGCCCGGATTCGGCCATGACTTTGAAGAAGGCCCATAATTTCCACAACAACGGTCGGATGCGTGCAGCGCGAAGCTTGGTGGAGAGTGCGTGTGTGTGCATTGTGTGCGCGCATGTGGATGATGTTTCCACGTCGCCAGGATGAGACGAGCGCGTGTGGAGCCGCGCCCCAGGACGCGACTCATGGCGGCCGCAACGGATGACACGGAAAGGCTGGTGTTCTTGGACCTCATCAGCCCTAGGGCGAGTTCGGAGCCTCGTGCAGGGCAGGCAAAACGGGGGATTGGCGGGCGGCCGCCGTCTGTGGAGGTTAGACGGTCCAGCGCCCTGCACCTTTCCCTGGATCAGCTGCTCCAATGGCAACGCGGACGTGAGATCTGTATCTCCGTCAGCCAGCACCGGTGGCACGGCGAGACACGGGCGATCGGGGCAGGGCTGGTGGGCTCGGGGCTGTTGGGTGTGTGTGTGTGAGTTGCGGTGGCCTTTCCTCCATGCCAGCAGCCTCACGACAGGCGGGTCGACCAGCTGTTTCTATATTATTACGTGCTAGCTGACTCCACCGCATGGCCCCAAAAAGCAACAAACGGGGTGAAGGCGTTGCTAGTGCGCCGAGTGAGCGGCCAGGCGTGGGGATCGGATCGGCCGCTTGCTCGAGCATGATCGCCGCACCTTCCGCATTGACGACGATGCCGGGGGGGCAAACGTCTTTTTTTTTCTTTTTTTTTTCTCGCTCTCGCGACAGGCCTGACTTGTTGCTGCTGCTGCTCTTGCTGTTTTGCTTCCCACACGACACACCACATCCCCGCCCCCCTCCTCCGACACGATCGTGATGGATGACCACGCGCGCGCAAAGGGCACCCAGGAAATCCACGGCCGCCCGCCGGCCGGCACCATGGACCGGCCAAACCGATATGTCACACCCCCTCCCCCACCCACACCCAGCCCGCCGCGCCCGGCCATGGTGTCGTTCGTTTGCGCTCAGCAAGCAGCCAGCCGAGAATTGCGCGCCAGACTCGCCGGATACCCACTGCCCACCGCACTGCTCCCTGCGAGGTGAGCCCACGGCTGCAGTCTGTGTGCTGACCGGTCGCGGTCCACCGCCTCCTGTTGCTGCTGCTGCTGCTGCTGCCGCTCTGCGGCGGCGGGCGTTCGAGTTATTATTTTTGCTGCCGGCTGGGCCGCGCGGGCAAGCTTGGCTGTGCGGCGTACGTACATTGTGTGCCGTGTGGCCGTTCAGCAGCACAAGCGGCGGCGGCGGCGGCGGCGGCGGCGGCGGCGGCACGGCAAAGGGGGGCCAGCTGAAGAAAGACGCTTGTGTGCGTGCACGCTTGGTCGCACGCGGGCTGGCGTGTTATTTACAAAGCACACAGTAGTGGCAGCATTGCGGTGACTACTTGACCGCAGGCGGCGGCGGCGAGAGGGATGCAGGGAAACAAGCTTCGTCGGAGGAACGAGTGCGGCGTGGGCCAGAGCCGGCTGCGCGCTGCGCGCTGCATCTCTCAGGCGGCCGCCGTCGCTGGTGGGCGGCGCAAAAATGAGGCGGCCATGCAAGGCGGGCTGTCGGCCGCGATCATCTCGCTTGCTCGGGGCGGCCAGGCACGCAGCGCGGCGCGGGCTGGTGGCGGCGGGCGTGTTGCGACGCGGCGGGCTGAGAGGTGCCGGGGCTGGGCCCACGCGCGCGGGCTGCTGGAGCTGTGGGTGCTGGAGCAGCTGGAGCAGCGGTTGCGTGTGCCGCGCTGGCTGCGCTGCTCTGCTCTGCTCCGGGGCCGGGTCGGTGAGGCGGTGAGCGGCGATTGCGACGCTGGGCTTGGGGCGGCGCGAAACGAGCCCGCCAGACCAACATCGTGTCCTGGCTCTCAGGGCGCGCGCCAGGATGGCCCCGAGCCTCTGCTTGGCCGCCCTGAACGACGACGCCCTGCTCCCCCAGCCGCCAGCAGCAGCTTTCCGCCGTCGCCTCCCGCGCACCAGCATAAGCACACCACCCACGCGCGCACGCCGGCATTCGAGGGTGCGCCGCCTCAACGCGCGGATGCTTGGGATCCTTGCATGCAACTGCACAGGGAACGAGTCATCTACGCTGAATTCCACGCCTCGCTCTGGGCACGACGTGATGCAAAACAACTGAATTGTATCCGCCCGCTCCGCCCCTCAACTGCACCTTAAACCCCAAGCCCGCCGACGGCCAGCCTGAGCCCGCCGCAAGCAGCCGCCGATCGCCGTGGTACCTGCATCATTCCTCACGCCTGCCTTTATCCCCAAGCCATGTCCGCAACGGGCCTCCCCCACGGGCATGTGTACATGTGAAGGTATCTACTTCCCTGCCCGTTTCCTGACTCGGAGCACGGGTTTGCCTGCGTTCATGCAGCCTTCCGTGACCGCCCTCCGACGAACACGTACTCAAGGTCCCTTGAGTCTCAAGCCAGCTTGTGCCCGACAAACCGCCTTTTAGTCACCTGTGTGAGTCCACCGCTGACCCGTCTCAGTCTCCACCCTGCCGTCCTTTATTGCGCCGCTCTCACCGCCGCACATATCACCCCCCCGCCTCGCAAGCCGCTCCACAGCCCGGCGCGCTGCAGCTGTCAAAACGCTTGCTCGCCCCCTCCCCCAACCTCGCCTCTCCTGCCGACTGACTAGAGCCGAATGACTGCGAATTACCGGAAGGGGCTAGAACGGCAAGGAACCAACCCGGATCGACCATCGCGCAGCATGGCCTCGCAAACCCAGGACAAGTCGCGTCGCGGCTCTTACATTGGCTCCGCCGCCGACTCCTCCGACCAACCCTCGCTGCGATACTCCTCCGTGCCCGGGCCTACGTCGGAGAGGACCGCCCGCGCCGTCCAGCAGCAGCAGCAGCAGCAGCAGCAACCGCCGGCCAAGCCTGCGCCAGCCACCGCCAAAGGGGAGACCTACCACCGCCGCCCCGAACTCATGAACGTACGAAGGAAGAGAAGCGGCTCCGAATTCCGCGAGGAGGGTTTCTGCGACGACGAGCAGGAGAAGGAAGCACGGAAGGCCCCTGCGCTGGAGGCGGACAAGGCCCACGTCACCGACGCCGACATCCTGTCGGACCTGTGCCAGTGGATAGAAATGTCGACGGCGGGGAGCACCAAGGGCACCCGCCTCGCCCACAGCTTCGCCTCGGCGAGCTCGCACCCGCCCATCACCAAGCACTCGCTGAGCGAGCTGGACATTGGCGCCATCATCAACAACCCGAAGCTGCGCCACGACGTCAACTTCGACCGCGAGCTGCACTTCAGGCCCAACTTCGACGGCGCCAAGGGCAAGTTCAAGCTGAAGACGGCCGAGGAGTACTGGAACGCCCTGGCCGCCGAGTTGGAGCTCTACACGTTCCTCTTCAACGGCGCGCCGTCGGTGACGCTGCGCAAGGGAGCGACGTGGCCGCGTGTCATTCAGATTGCCCAGAGGCGGATACCGCTCATGTTTGACACCATCAGGGACATCATCAAGAGCTTGGTACCGGAGAGGGATCAGTCGAGGGTGGACGAGCAGCTGGACACGAAGATGCTCATGCAACAGATCGAGAAGGGGGTGTGTGACCTGGTCAGCGTGGCGAAATGGCTTTCGCACTTGCTGAAGGCACACTGCGCTCCCGTGCGTGACGAGTGGGTGGACAAGATGGTGGAGCAAATCGATTTGGGCACAAGAGGCGGCAGTGGCAGGTCGTTGGTCAACGGGCTGAGGGAGCTTTTGGGGATCCTGGAAGCCATGAAACTGGTAAGTCACCACCACTCGTTCCACGAAAGTGCCTTTGACACGTCACCCGTCACCCGGGCCCGCTGACACCTTACCGTCCAGGACGTGGCCAACCACCAAATCCGTCACCTCCGCGCCTTGCTGATCGAGGATACCATCAACTTCGAGCAGAAGTACCACTTGGACCGGATTTCGAGACGACGCATCCTGGTCGAGCGGTCGCAATGCTGGTTCGCTCAACATGCAATCACCTGCCGTAGCATACCTGCCGATCGCCACGTTAGGGACCGGGGCTTGAGAGTGATCGTCCGTGGCTTGCTGTCGTTGTTGACCTCGTCGGATCGCCAAGGTTCGTTCCCCGAGACGTTCTATTTGGACTTTGACCGCTTGCGTCTCTTGAGAGCGGAATTCCGTGATCAGGTATACCTTGGCGTTGCCACCGATACGTTCAAGTCCCTTCTGAGAAGGACGGGCTTTGCGAGGTCGGTGCCCAACACCCATGTGCAGGCATTGCGGGAAGCCGTGTCTGCCATTGTGGTTGTCAATGAGGTTGCTGGTACAAACAGCAACCAGCACTGGCTCGTCAACATAGATAATATCTCGGTGGAAATTGTCCGCCATGCTCTTTCCCTCTGCGGAGCAGCATCAAACTACGATGCTGACCTCGTCGATGCAACCGCCGAACGACTCCGGCACCTCATTCGCCCGGAATTTGGCATGGTATTCCACGAGCAAGCCAACGCCATGCGCGAATCGCTGGCGGCCCGCGTGACGAAGAGCACCGAATCCTTCGTCTCTTCATCCCCTGTCGACATCTTCAACTCCTTGATCGCCTCGCCTGCAGCGTCTACGGTTTGCGCCACCTCGAACCATGAAGAGCCCGAAGGCCCCGAGGCCGAATACCTCGACGATATTGCTCGCCGTATCACACACATAGCCGTTCTGCACTGGCGCATTTGGGGCACCATTGTCTACTCGCAGACCACCGCATTCACTACGCTTATGCGCAACCCTGTGCCCGAAACATCGCATTCCTCCTCCATCTCCTCTACGGAGACCATGCTCGACGTCAATGCTTCTGCAGCGTCTTGGACCGACGATGGCCTCGAGACTCCCAGCACAACAAGCAGTCCGGACCCCCAACAACAACAACACACCCTTCATCAACAAAATCTACCCCAACGACGCGCGAGGAGATGGAGCAGTGCCAATGAGCGGCGCCCTCCAACCACGAGCTCCGCCGAACCCGGTGCCGCTGCACTCTCAGCACCTCCCAGCCAGCAAGATGGTTCCGACGGACAATCCGATGACCAGAGCAGTGGGAATGCTGGCAGCGGCTTGGAGCGGTTGGTTTACCGGCAGCGTTGAATCAGAAGGAGCAAAAAGTAATACGTGTTGAACGACGGCGAAGCTACAAACGTAGATCTTTGCTTCGCTGGTCGTTCTCGGCCACCTACCATCACAGGAACCTTGATTGTTCCTATCACGTATGCTGTTTTTGGAGTGGCCAAATTTTTCCTTTTTCCCCCCGACAGCGGAGCTGTTCAACAAGCGCTTCGCAAGTCGAAGTAACCATTCCAGGATCTTCCTCTTTTCTTTCTTCTCTTTCCATTTAAGACCTATCATGTTGCCGCTGCGGCTGTGACGAGTTTCATTACAATTTCTCCCTCTATCTCTCCATCTCTCACCCCCTCTCCACATGCACTATGAAAGACTACTCATACGTCTTCAGTGTTTTCTCTTTCTCTCTTTCTCTATCCCCATTCTCAACGACGCCTATCTCATTTGTATTCGCTTATGTATGGGCGGATTTTGCGGATCGGGCAAAGATCAACTTTGTAATGCTCTCCTCCTTCATGTCACGGCGGGACAAGCAAAAAATTTGCTGAGATTGTCCTCTGTCTTCCCTACCACTTTCATGGTCGGGACATCTTGTGTTTGATTGTATGGCTGGGACGGGTTGGGGCGTCTTGCTATTCCTCTCTGCTCTGTCCATACTTTTTTTTTTTTTTTTTAGGTTTGTGATTGCGATTGTGCCTGTAATTCTGCAGGCGTCTGATTTGTCTTTAGCGGCATTGTATACCCCGAAGTTTTTTGGTTCTTGTTTTCTACCATTCTTATATACAGCTTTTAACCCTCCTCATCCTCCTCCTCCTCATCATCATCCATACACGAAAACGTATCCCCCTTCTTATTGATATTAGTGGAAACAAGGTTGTGCTGGCTAGTTTTCGGTTTTTGTTTTCCCGGGGTGGCGTCCTGTTATGTTGCTCTCTCTGGATCCTTGTTCTGTAGGATGATGGGGCGCTTGATTGATTTTTTGATTGGTTTTCTGATCGTATGTGTTTGGTTCTTATTTACAAGATTGCACGGTGTCGTTTGGAGGGTTTTTGGACCTTTTGTGATTGTTGTATCGTGAATGTGCTTATTCTAGTTAGGAGAAAGAAGACCTGTCTGTCAGCCAAATCGGGGTATATGAATCGTTTTGTTTGTATCTTATATAAAAAGTAATATTATTTTTGAGCTTTTGAGTTCCTCTCCTAAGGATGGTGTGGTGTTGTGTAATGCTCCATTGCTGGGCCGCTTCGTCGCTTAAAGGTGTGATTCGGCAACGAAATCAAAGGCTCTGTTCCCAACGGGGCGGATCCATCTGCGATCGTCGATGGACGACAATTGAATGGAAGATGGCCATTTCTACGAGCAGGCCCTGCAAACTTCACACTCGCTAACGCTTCTCCCATCGGTTAACGTGTAATCGCTCCCGCTAGCAACGTGTGGACTGAGTGTTGTATAGTATGATTTCTCGTAAACCATCTGCCGCTTGTACCCTTTCTATCTACTCATTCCTGACATGAAGTTGCGGGTTTTGGAAACGAACACTCCGTCGAGCAGACTGTCTTGTGGTTTTTCTCGAACCCGATCATTCGCCACACCCATCCATCCCGGTGATATGTCTGTCTTGAGCTTGAGAAATGATCAAAGGCCGCTCTGATGGGGTTGTTCACCAATGTCTTGCCTTCAATTTCCGCCTCGCCTTTGCGGAAGCCTTTCCGCGACATGTTTATCGACTGCGACGGTAGTAGTTCATCAAACCAGCTTGCAACCTTGGCCGTCTAGAATCACGCAAGGAAGACGAGCAACAGTGGGGAGAAATGTGCATCATATGTGGGTAGTGAAATCGAATATCGGGATGGATTTGTCTCCGTTTAAACCACCTCACTTTGATGCCCAGACGTTGGATTCGATTCGACTCCCCACGTAATTATGGTGCAATATTTGAGAGTTTATGCGGGTGAGGCCAACGTCTTTGTAACTGGCTGTGATGCTTTGAACAAACAGCACGAGACACAGCCATTCCGGGTCATCGTCACTTCTTTACTACTCCTCGTATAGACAAACACGAGGAACAAACGCCTAGTAGTATCGAATCGAGAAAAGGCTAGGAGTGACTTTGCTGTTTCCCATCGTCATTTCTCCCTCCAGTCACACAGGTAGCTCCGCCATCCATTCGAGAATTGCAGCATAAACCTCGCGCGCCAGCAATCCCATCATCCAACTTTTCAATCTTCTCTCCCGTCCAACACATCGCGACCAACACTCAACCAACTCACCCATCCGCGTGCAAAAACCAAAAAGGGTGAAAACAAAGTCAAATTGTCCACAAGCTACCTACCTACCTCAGCCCAACGCCGCATCAAAACCTCGCCTCAACCTTCTTCCACGTATCCTGCAGCGCCCACTCGCTCTTCGCCTTCTTGCTCCTCACCCTCTCCGCCTGCTCCAGCGTGAACCCCTTCGCCTCCACCGCCGGATTATACCCCAACCCATTCCGCCTCCCCACCTCCTCGCTGCTCACCTCTTCCCCCACCTTCCCATCCGCGCGCTTGTACACCGTGCAAACGCACGCGCCGCCCAGCCCCAAATTATGCTGCAACGCGACATCGACGCCCTTCACCCCCTCACCCGCCGCCTCCGCCCCCGCCCCCCGGCTCACCGGCGTGACGAGCCTGTTGTTCGCCCACCCGCGCAGATGCCACACGAGCTCCGCGCACTGCGCGATGCCCGTCGCGCCGAGCGGGTGGCCCTTGCTGATGAGGCCGCCGCTGGGGTTGACCACCACGCGGCCGCCGTACGTGATGTCGCCCGCGCGCACCATCTCGTGCGCGGACCCCTTCCCGCGCGGCGACAAGCCCAGCGCGTCGAGCGTCACCATCTCGTTGGCGGAGAAGCAGTCGTGCAATTCGCAGAGGCGCACGTCGGCGGGGCGGACGCCCGCCTCGGCGAGGGCGGCGCGCGCGGCGGCGGAAGCCATCGAGTAGCCGATGAGCTCGATGGCGGATTTGTTGAAGAGGGCGGGCGAGTCGGTGGCGAGGGCTTGGCCGGCGATGAGGATGGCGCGGGCGCGCAGGTGCGGGTGGGTGGTGAGGAAGGATTCGGAGACGAGGATGGCGGCGGCGGCGCCGTCCGAGGTCGGGCAGCATTGGAGCTTGGTGAGGGGCGTGTGGATGGTGGGCGAGGCGAGGATCTGGTCGAGCGTGTAGACGTCGTGGAATTGGGAGTAGGGGTTCGCGGCGCTGTGGGCGTGGTTGACGCGGGCGATTTCGGCGAAGTCGGCGGGCGTGGCGCCGTATCTGTGTGCGTGTGTGAGTGAGTGTGTGTGTGTGTGTGTGTGGGTGTTGTAGGAGGGAGAGGTGGAGGAGGAGGAGGAGGAGGGGGGGGAAGCGGCGGGACTCACTTCTCCATATACTCCCTCCCCGCATTTCCGAACAGCTGGGCCGCCCCCGGGGCATTCGTGATCCCCCTCGTCTCCTTCATGACCTGGTTCGTCGTCGCCGTCGGGTTCGTCCGGTCCTGGAAGAAGGTGCTCAGGCTGCCGGGGAACATCTTCTCGAAGCCGACGACCATGGCCACGTCGGCGGCGCCGTGCGACACCATGGTGCGGCCCATGTGGAGGCCGGTGCTGCCGGTGCTGCAGTTGTTGTTGACGTTGTAGATGGGGATCTGGGTCATGCCGAACTGGTAGAAGACGCGCTGGCCGCAGGTGCTGTCGCCGTAGCAGTAGCAGGCCACGCCCACGTCGACGTCGTCGTAGTTGATGCCGGCGTCCAGCAGCGCCTTGATGCCGGCCTCGTAGCCCATTTCGTTGTAGTCGACCTTGCCGCGCGGCTTGACGAACTTGGTCATGCCGACGCCGAGGACGTAGCAGGCTTCTCCTTGCTTCTTGCCCATGGTGGATGAAGCTGTTCTATTTACTTTTTGTTGGTGGTGATGCGGAGGTGGGGACGCAACGGAGTGGGGAGTGAGTGTCAGAGCTGCTGGCGCGGCAAATGCAAATGTTTTACGGAATTTATCGAGTCTCGTAAGCTGAGAAGAGCAGGGCGGAGGGATCAACTGGAGGCGCGAGGTGGATTTAAACCCGGTCGCTGGGCCGCGGCAGGGACAGCTTGGAGCTTGGTCCCCTGTGCCCTTACCCCAGCTGGCTTTGTGGGGACAACCGACAGGCCGAGGTCACCGCCCCTCCCGTCCCCGCACATCCACCACACCCAAACGCTACGTCCCCACCATTCTCGGTCCGCCATCATCCGCTGCACCTCCTATTATTACTGATCGCTCCGGACCTGTCAGAATTTATTGACTCTGACTAGAAATGCATTATTCCAACCAATTTTCCGTCCTGGACACTCTGTCTCCACAATCCTATTCCCTTCGCCGCCAGCTTGATCGTCTACTCTCCAGTCAAATCAAGCCTCTCGACAGTCTGTGCCTCGACTTCCTCCCATGGACCAATCTGCAGCTTGCGCCGCTTGCGCTCCCTTTGACCGCCGTCGTCATCGTCACCACCTTCCTGCTCCTTGACATCCGCTTCGGTCTTGATCGCTGAGTTAGCTTGGCGGTCATTCTGGAGTTCCATCTGTACCTGATGTAAATCCATATTCGTAACATCGCCTCGTCTCAACCTCGTTACTTGCCTGTCGTCTGTACGCTGTCGCCCTCTGCTTCTTCCGCCTGTTCTTTCTCGGCTTGGTACGCAGTTCGTTGAGGGCTGTCTTGCCCTCTAGGCTAGTTCCTTCCGGCTCAGACAGAGACCTGTAGCGAAAGTTGAACTCTGCAAATGGCGCATGCACAGGGTCGATCCAACGGATCTCCCATCCAGGGTCGAGGTTGGCTATGGGTTGCGCATCACCTAGGCTTCAGTCATGAATCAGCACATGCTGTTTTCAGACGCCTGTAATGCGTTCCTGACATACCATGCCTGGTGTGAGATGGCCTGACTCTTCAGAGCCTGTAATGGCACAGTGTCCAGAGCCTTGAACGACGTTATCCTGTTGTGCGTCTTCTCGGCCTTCATTTCGCCAACCTTCTCTACCCTCCAGCAACGCACCGTGATCTCGCCAATCGCACTAGCTTGCTTCTCGAGGCCAGTGTCGTTAATCGCACCGTTGTCTTCGACTGCGGCGAGGTAAATGGCATAAGGGGGGTTTGCACAAACAACGAGAGCTCATACCTATCTCTAGCTTGGCGAACGAGAACGGAAGCTGGTAAGACTTCCCGTTCTTGTTGATGCGAGCTCCGTCAAGCATGTACCTGTAGCGTCCCTGGCTCTGCAACAACGACGAATCAAACGCCAATGTGTCGACGAGCTGTCCGTCCAGATAAACCGAACTCATGATGTGTTCATCCTTGAACGGGAATATGTCCCTCGTGAAGCACCATCTGATCGCGAATTGCTGGTTGGATTTAGCTTGGATGTACTTTGTCACAACGCCGGCTGGCGACCCATTAGAGTAGGTGCACTCTTTCGTGAACTTGTACCCCGTCCCATCGAAGACCAAGATCATAACCACCAAGCCATTCAACCCTTGAATTATAGCCATGATGGTAAGTCCGGAAGTCAACGTCGAAGCTTCCGGTGCTTTCTGGCCTGCTGCTTGATAGAGTGAGATGGTGGTTCTGGAAAGGTGAGTTGTGGCCGCCTGGAAACGTCTGGCAATGGCGTCGAAGAGTGAAGTGGAGCGGCGTCAAGCTCGCAGCAGCCTCTGCGAAATCGTCGAGGATGACGGGGGATCGTGCTGGCTTCGACGGTCGGGCGCCGAGCGGCGAAAGAGAATGACGACGGCGGAGAGGAAAGGTCGAGGGGAGCGTGGGCAGAACGAAGAATATATAGGGTCCGCGTCCGTTTCTGCCGAAGAGGGAAAGGGCTCGCGTGTGCAAAAGGAAGGAGCGACCCAGGCAGGCCGCCCAGAACCCCAGCCGCGTCCGCACATCTGTTGAATGGGATACCCGCAGGATTTCCATAGCCTAGACATTAGTGGCCAGCGGCTTGTTGGATATGAATGTCCTGCCATCGCCCTCCAGATCCCATCCACAAAACACACAACAGGGTCCGGCAAACGTGGTGCATAACGGAGGTTGGGCCACCCGCTGCTGATACGATCAACGAGATTTCCATTACCCTAAAGGCTACGAATGCTGTACGTGCACGCTGGTACATGGAGAGCGCCATTTGATATCATGATGCAGTGCTCAACCGACGGATGGAGGTGTGCATCCAGAGCGAAAACAGAAAAAGCCAAATCGGACAGGAAAGTAGGAAAGACAGATGCCCGCATGAAACCCAGCCAGTCTTCGAATGATGCACCTCCAACGCCAATGATGAGCTACAGTAAGAGAGTATGTTTATGAAACCATGGTGTGATCAAGGAAAAAAGGAATGATAAGTGAAAAAAAAAAAAGGAGGCTTATTGGCCAAAGCATCACAGAACGCCTGCCTTGCACTGATTGATATCAAAAGAAAAAGCCAGAACCCCCAAAACCGTCGCTCAGCAGTCTACAAGCTGATGACGCGCAAACCGTTTTCTTCCCCACTTTTGTCGTCTACCAGGGACCAACACGGACGGGGGCAACCATGCCATACGTGCCGTTGAGCAGCTGTTGCCGTATCGAAGCCGGGTCGTTGGCGTTGGGGCCCACGCCTGCTTGTTGCGTGGCTGAGCCATTGCCGCCCATCCAGCCCAGATGCGACCGCAGCTCATTGACGGCCTCCTGCATCCTGCCGCCAGACAATTCGTTGTGCTTCGAAATCTTTTGATCCCAGCCGCCGTATCCCAGTTGAATACCACCGCCCCTCTTCCCTGCCTCCCGGACGGCCATCGCCCAAGCCTTGGCCATCTCCTCGTACGCATCCTGCTTATGGCGGTTATGCTGGAACGTGTCCCAGTTGGGCAGCTTGTGGAGGATCTCGGTGGCGCCATCAAGGAAGTCGAGGGATGTGGCGGGCTGCATCTCGTTGGGCGGAAGGAAGTGCGGGGTGTAGTCTTTGAGGGCTTCGAGAAGGTCGTGCAGAGGTTGCCTGACCCGGTTGTAGGCGTAGTCGGACGTGTTGCGATTGCCAAACGGGAAGGCGGCTTGGAGGGCGGATTCGTAGTTGTTGAGCACCTGCAGTGCGGAGGCCACGCCGGGCCGGGGGGCCGTGTTGACGACCTCGGCGCCAATGTCCGGGTGCCGCTGGCAGATGGATTGAAGGAGACTCCTCATGTCCTCGGGCCCCAGCGTCTCCAGCAGGCGGGGGAGGCCTAGGGGGCGGCCGCTCATGTTGGTGCGCAGACGCTTGGTGCCGTGGCGGGCCGACGGCTGGATGAGGGTTCGCTGGCCCATCGAGGGCGAGCGTTCGGGGGATGCAGACATGCGCTCGTCGGCGTCGGCATGATCTTCGTCGGCTTTGCGCTTGCGGGAGGACATCTGAGTCGGAGCAGATGGCACTGCAAGACACGTTAGCGGGGCGGGGACGGGCGGCGGTGGGAGCAAGGACGCACTGGAGCGGTTTGGCGAGAGGCGGTTGTTCTGGAGAAGATGCGGCGCGGCAAAGGGAGAAGTGGCGAGGACGCTGTTCATGGTTGGCGGGCCTTTCGCTGTCTCAGCGGAGATGGAGTGGCCGGGTTGACGGGTGTGGACGACGCCCACTGGAAGGGCGTGAGGGCGCGCAGGTGAGGTGGACGACGGGATGGGAGCGAGGTGGCAGCGAGGTGTCAGTGGATGTTTGGCGTCCAAAGGGCTGCCGATTGCCAGCCCAAGAGGACCAAAGCTAGGCCTTAGCCGCGCCAAGCTGCGCCCGGGCCACCGCCGCCGCCCGAGGCCAGTAAGGCGCTCGAACGCCAGGTCTCCACCACGACCGACAGGGCCGTCTATACTGCCCGGAAATACGGTGAGGCGCATGTGCTGTCACGCTGGAGCAGATTCTGCACACGTGCTGCTGTGCGCCACTCGGGCGCAACGCCGGCCATCCCCGCGCCGCGCTGCTTTGCATCCATTACTATCCTGAAAACACTGCTTTTGGCCAAACAAACAAGCAAGCCACGTTCGACTATCTAAGGTTAACGCCCAAAGCGGATCCTGCAATTGAGCTCAGCCGAACACCCAACGCCGCCGCAATGCCACTCGCTGAACATGCACCACGCCCCAGCCCCGTGCTCGCACTCCCTTTGACTCAAGCTAGCCGCATGGCATTCACTGCTTACAAGTACAAGGACTGTGCAGCCACCAGATCTCTCCTGATCGCCTCGAGCGCCTTCTCGAACTTCTGCTCGAGATCGTTGTTGCCCATGACCTTGGCGCCCTGTGCAATCTGCCGCAGCAGCTCCTCGAGACGGCGGAAGAGCCGGATCAGGCTGCCCTCGTAGACGTCCGTCATTTTGCTGTCATGCTCGTTAGCCGCCGGCATCTATATGGCCCGGGTTGGTGGCGAAGACTTACCAGATCTCTGCAAAGGTTGCGCCCTTGGACCATGCGAAGACGACCTCCATGAGCTGATATTTGAAGCCATCGACATACTCGTCCTCGTTGACCGCCAGCTTGCTCTCCTGAGAAACCTTCGCGATAATGCGTGCCTGAGCCTGGATGTCACGGAAAGGCTTCGCCAGCTCTCCTCTCAGCGTCGGCGTCTCGTTGCTCTTCTCTTCGAAGATGAAGCAGCTCAGAGCAGAAGCGCACTGCTCGGGAGTGAGCTCGTTGAAGAAGCCGTTGAAAAGCAGTTCGCTCAGCACAAGCTCGTCGCCGGTGCTGATCTCACACGCCACTCTGGCCTTGAGCTGGACAACGTCTGCCTCGTTGATGAAACCCAGGCGCCTGAGCACACGCTTGCGGCACTTCAGCTCGTCCAGCTGTATGACGGAGAGGGCGTTGTTGATCTGCTTCTTGACCTCCTTGATCTTGTTGCCAAGCTCAACCTTGCCTGCATACTGGTCGTACAGATCCGGTAATCTGGGTGAGTTGTGCAGCGGATTGGACAATAACCGAGACTCGAGAACCTCAATCTTGCGCAACAGCTTCTTGAAGCCGTCATCCGTGATGCCCATGTTCTCAATGGGGTCAAGAATGGCAATGCCGTCGGGGAACCTCCTCTTGACCTCCTCAAGAGCCTTGCGGACCGAGGTCCTCTGGTCTGCAGACTTGAGGTCGGGCGGCAGGAAGATGCGCAGATGTCCAATTGATTCGATGCACGATAGCAACACCGGCACGACTTCCATCTTGCCCTTCTCGCCAGGTCCAGGCGGCCTCACACCCTGAGGCAACTCCTGGCTGAGTTGCGGGGCGAAAGTCACATCGTTTGCAACCTGGATCAGCACGTCGATGACGTACGACTGCTGAGGGGAGATGTCGGCAGCTTTCTGGCCCTTGGCAGGCTTGCGGGGCGTGAAGTTTACGACTGCACCCCAACCGAAGTCGAAGTCCTTGTGTTTGATGCGCACAAGACGACCCGACTGCATGTACTGCAAACAGTAGTTCGGATGGGTGATGACGTCCCGCATGTCCCGGGTGTACTGGTTGAGCTGTTGTCTCAGGTCGTAGTAGTCGCGGATACTGCTCTCATCGGCGATTGCTATGAGCGCCTTCGTCTGTTCCAGCTCGCTCAGGTGCTTCTCGAGACCAGAAACGCTTGCAGTGTTCTGGAATTGGAAGAAGCAACGTTCGAGCATGAATTCGGGAGAAATGCCCTCAACACGCATAAGGTTCAGAATCATGTTGTAGCTCAGGTAGAAGGCGGAGTTGAGCTTGTCTTGCTCACCGCGCACAATCTCCTTTGCAACAGTGGGCTCCATCTTCTCGTCGATCATCATGATGACAATACCACGGTCATCAAGACCACGTCTTCCGGCACGACCAGACATCTGAATGAACTCGGACGGCGTCACCCAACGTTGGGACACACCGTCGAACTTGCGGACGCTCGTGAAAACGACAGTCTTGGCGGGCATGTTCAGACCGATGGAGAAAGTCTCGGTCGCGAAGAGGACCTTGATCAGACCTTCCTGGAAGAGGATTTCGATGGTCTCCTTGAGAATGGGCAGGAGACCGGAGTGATGTACACCAATGCCGCGCTTCAAAAGCGGCAGCAAGTGCTGGATCTGCGGAAGCTCCCTGTCCTGCTCGCTGAGGGATTCAATGGCGCTGCTGAACACCTTTGTAACCAGCAGCTTCTCGGACTCCTCGTTGAAGGAAAGCGTGCTCATCTGGAGGGCGAGGTTCTCGCACTCCCTCTTGCTGAAGCTGAATACGATGACGGGGTTGTAGTTCTTCATCATGATCATCTTGACGATCTTGTAGATGTCCGAGGGTCCCTTTTGGCCGCCCTTGTTGAGCTTTTTGTCCTTGCCTCTACCCTTGCGCTTTGCCATGGCGTCGGCCGGGTCGTCTCCAGCCTTGTCCGAGATGGTTTGCATAGCCTTCTGGAAGTTTTCCTCTCTGAAGACACCCTTCTCATCCACAACCAAGTGTATGCCATCGGCGCCAGCAGGGAAGAAATAGTGTTGGAGAGGAGTGGGTCGGAAGTCGGTGTAGACGACGTGACACGGCTGATTATGGGTCTTGACAATCCACTCGGCAAATTGCATGGCGTTAGGAATGGTGGCGGAGAGAAAGACATAGCGGACCTTGTCGGGGAGAAGAATGATGGTTTCCTCCCAGACGACACCACGAGCTGTTGCAAGTCAGTATTGATGTAGCAGGTCCTCAGCAAGCCAATGTGACGTACATTTGTCGCGCATGTAATGGACCTCGTCAAAGATGACCCAGGCAACTTCGCGCATAATCTCGGAACCTCTGTACAGCATAGAGCGCAGAATCTGCTGACGGTCAGCATTTTAGATCATCGTGTGTCAAGTTCGCCGACGTACCTCGGTAGTCATGACCAGACAGGTCGCAGTAGGATTGATGGTGACATCTCCAGTCATGAGACCGACGTCGCCAAAGTCTGCCATGAACTCGCGATACTTTTGGTTGCTGAGGGCCTTGATCGGACTCGTGTAAATGACCCTCTGGTTGTTCTTGAGACAGTGCGCAATGGCATACTCGGCGACGACGGTTTTGCCAGCGGACGTGTGGGCCGACACGAGCACACTCTCATTGCGCTGGATGGAGTAGACCGAGACCTGCTGGAAAGGATCCAGCTTGAAAGGATACTCGCGCGCGGGCTTCTCGGGGGCGACGTGCTCGGAGATAGGAATGTAGTCGTAATCCGGGGGCAGCGCGACCTGGTGCCTGACCTGGTGAGACAGCACAACGGCGGCGCCATCCTTCTGGGCCTGCAGACCGGCGGCGGCGGCGACCTCGCGTGACTGCTCCGTCTCGAAGCTATCGGTGACGACGGGATCGGGCTCATCGCGGCGAAGGCGTTTCGCAATGGTTTTCGCATCGGCGCCGCCGGCAGCAGCAGCAGCAGCAGCAGCAGCGTCCTGGGCGGGCGGCGGAGCGTCGCTCATGGTGGCATCGTTGGCGGGTTCGTCGGCGGCGGCCTTGACATCGCCGTTGGCCTGTCTCTTTTTGTTTTTCTTGGGCTGCTTGGGCGGCGGGTCCTGGGCAGGGCCCGGCTGCCCTTCGAAAACGTCGAAGAGCTCATCCATGGCGGTGTGGTGGAAACGCGCCTGGAGAGCGGAGTTGTCTTCGCCAGAATTGTTCAACCAACTTTTGCGCTTGGACGTAGACCGCCCGCGCGGCCGATCGCCCTCGCACTTGGCTTGATTGGACGGGGCAGCCAATCGGCGATGCCCGCGGCGCGCTCCGACATTCCGCCGCCTTGGCTGCTTGACGTAGCTGGCCACTCGTGTCTCTCACCACGCCATCGGAGTCGTTTCCGACTTCTGGTAACTATCACAGTCGCACAATGGCGACGACAGAAATGTTTTGCTCCTCTGTGCGTCCCAGGAAAACAGCGCCGAGCCTACACACCATTACCACCGCTTCTGTTTGATATTCAATGGCAATTCATCTATCCACAAGCTTCGCGTTTGCCATGCTTTGCGAAATCCTCAGGCCCACAACCACCTTAATTTTCATAAGCGTCATTGATCATGCACGGTCGTAGGAGCTTCCGGGAGGCCGGGTGTTCAGTTTTTTCTCCTAGTCCTCGGCTACTCTGTCCAGAAGATACGCCTTCATTTGGCCCGCGCTTCGTCGACAGACTCGCACTGGTCCAACACCACACTTCAAGTTTTAATATCTTTTCAATGACCATGCTCGATATGCTCTTGAGAACGTGAAATTTCCAAAGTGCCTCGTCCCTCCTGCTCCTCAACGCCAAAGCCACATTGTAGGGATACATGAAAGAAATATAGTACGAGGATGGGAAGTCCTGCGCGGGCTCTCAGAGCTCGTCGCAGATCAAATCGAATTCAGGGAACGCGGGATCCGGCCCGATGTTTATCGTTCCCGTTGGTGTTGCGCTCGCTGTCGTTTCCTCTGCAGAAGTGGCGGCGGCTGGAGCAGCTGTTGTCGTCGGCTCCGCCTCCTCGGCCGTGGTGCTGGGTGGCGGTACGCTTTCGACACTCGACTCACTGCTGGTGTCCGGAGCGGCAGCGGCGGTAGTTTCCGGTGCCTCGGACGTGGTGGTCTCAGGAGCGGCAGAAGTAGTTGTCTGAGGGGGCGGGGGCGGAGGAGGTGGCGGCGCCGAGGTGGTAGCTTCGACTTCAGGAGCCGAGGTGGAGGCTTCAACTTCGGTAGCAGAGGTGGATGTGGTTGAGGAAGACGAAGATGAAGAGGATGAAGACGACGATGAGGAAGAAGATGATGATGATGACGACGAAGAGGAAGAGGAAGATGATGATGTGGATACGGCAGTCTGCTGTGCCACGGCACCAAAGGTCGTTATCGATGCAGAACTCTGAGCCGATTGGCAATTCGCTGTAAGGAATTAGCGTCGAAACAGCAAGGTCGTCACAAGCGTAGGTGCTTACATTTTTGTGTATTGCAGTCGTCCACAGTAAAGTCACCTTTATTCCCTTGCGCATTCGCGGCCTACGTAGGATATGGGCTTAGTAATGTTTCTAGTTTTCCCGATCTTTGGGGATACGGTCGAACCGTTCTCCAAGAGTAGGATTGAAGGTACTAAACGGAAGAAAAAAAAAGTTGAGGGACTTGGCACTTACATCTGCACAGTCGTTAAACTGATTATCGCACGTCCGTTGCGCAGCTTCCTGGAAGGAGTTCTATGGCCCAATGTTAGCAAATCCACTCCCTCAAACTCCGCCCTCGTTCCTCTCCGCCTCCACGCTATTCATCTCCACCACCCAACTCTTGGCAACGGCCGCCAATCGGGAGCACCGTTGACCCGACCTCACATGCCAAACCCCAGAAAGACCCTCATCCGTTCGTGTCCGTTATTCTCACTCATCTAACAAGCCACCCAGAAAAAAAAAATCCCCACCACCCCACACCTCAGAAAGAACCAAAAAAAAAAAAGAGCAAAGAGCCAGTCACTCACAAAAGTATCCCCATCAACCATAAAAACCCTCTCTCCATCCCCTGAATCCACAATCGCCGCCGCGCTCTTCCCGCCAAGCGCCTCCCCAAACGTCTGCAAGTCATCCGACGACTGGCGCACCAGCATGAGATGACGCACGTCTCTGCCAACCGCCGCGGCGCCAGCGCCGCATAACGACGGTGCCATTAACGACAAAAGCAGCAGCAGCGGCGGCAGCAGCAGCAATGCCGCCGTCCTCCCCGCCGTCCTCCTCGCTGAGGCTGGGCGGCGGCCGGGACGCGGGCTCGGTGGTGGTGAAAGCGTCGTCGTCCGTGCGATTGGAGGTGGTGGTATCCGCATTTTCCTTTTTTTTTTTTTAACTTCTTTCCCCTTCCTTCTCTTTCTCTCAATTCCCTCCCCCGGTTTCGACAGGGCCTGCTTTCGATGTGCCGTTGGGGGGATTGGAATGTATGGAGTGACGGAGACGCCTTCTTTTTTTTTCTTTCTCTTGTTGCTTCCTTCTCGAATCTGTCTATCTGGGAGTTGGGGAAAGCATCGTTTGTTCGTCGTCGTCGTCGTCGTCGTCGTAGTCGTCGTCGTCGTCCTCCGCAGCGGGGCGTCCCTGGCTCGGGTTCGGTTGGCGGCCGGTAAGCTGAGGGTGAGACAGAAGATCGACAGGGCGCGCAAGCGCGGCGGTGGGTCTGGCCTGTTGGGTCGGTCGGTAACAAAAAAGCACAAGCAGCTGCGGGCTGCTGACTCGGATAAGCTGACGGCGAGCGGCGGCGAGGCCAGAAGCGTGCAAAGTGTTTGCACTGGGGGGAAAGTCGAGAAAAGAGAACAGAGCGCAAGATTGATGGGCAGGGCGGCCGTTCATGCCGGCCGGCAAAATGGGAATCGGCGAGAGAACAAGTCGGGCTCCAGGTGGAGAAGGCAACCGCCAATCAAGACGTGGTGTGGTGTCCACCGAGCGCGTCGCAGCCGCTGCGAATGGTAGCTCGTCACCAGCCTTTGAGACACCGCTGAAACCGCGTACGCGACCCTCCTTGTCACAACGCAATATCTCAGCTGCACAGCCCCAGCATGCCATGAGTCGCTTTCGTCACTGCCTTGTTGTCATGGTTTTGCTATGACGTTCGAGCATTAAGAATGGCGATCATAATCGCCGCTGTCTACGTACTGCTATTTGATAAGGGACTGTACAGTTCGTGCGGCTAAGCCCGCCGAATATCTTCCTGCTAAATCAAGCAAACCTCCTAGATGAGAGACGGGTGAAACAACCCGACAAGGAAAGAGGAAGGGGTATGCTGCCTTTCTAACGGATCCCATGATCCCATACTAAAATCATTCTTTTCAACAAATATCTCCTTGTTTGACGTGTAGCCGTCACATGCTACGTATGCACCTCGTGAATGGAACAATGAAAACAAGAATCCGCATCGCGTTGGATCGGATGTGGCTGTAAACGCGAGATTATATGAAAGAAGCAAGGACCACCGCTTCAAGGCGGCCCGTGAGAAAAAAAATCCAACTCCACTGCAATGCAAGACTAATTCAATCGTGATGCTCGTAAACGGCAGCCAGTTGGGACTCTTAGAAGTTTGCTGCGGCGTTGACGCGGCCACCAGGCGTGTGGTGCTGCTCGAGCGTGCGGTTGAACATGTCGTTGGGCGAGCTGCTGTTGCGCTTCTCCGTGTTGAGCGGCTGGTGAGCGTTGCTGCCAGCCAGCGTGTAGTCGTCCTCGTCGTCGACCTGGTTCTTCTTGCGGCCCCAGATGCGCCATGCAACAATGGCAAGAGCGCCGAGCACAATGGCGCCACCAACACCACCAACGACACCACCGATGATCTTCTTGGTGCTCGAGCTCATGCCAGAGCTGCCCGAGCTCGAGCTGTCGTTGTTCAGGACGGCAGCGCTGGTGACCGTGGAATAGCCGGTGGTTGACACGCGCGTGGTGCTGCCGGTGCTGGTGAGGGTTGCAGACTGGCCATTGGTGACGGTGACGATGGTGGTGGTGAATGCCTCGGTGGAGCTAGCGACCAGCGCAGACGTGTAGGTCGTCTTCGACGTAGTCTTCGCAGAAGAGGCCGAGCTGGTGGCCGAGGAGCCGCCTGCGGTGGCAGTGGTGCCAGCAGCAGCGGAAGAAGCACCGGTGGTGGTGACGACAGCCGTGTCGGTCTGAGTCGTGCCGGCAGCGGCGGACGAAGCGGGCACAGAGGCGGTCGTGGTAACGGCCGTGTTGGAGGGGGCAGCAGAGGTCTCGGCGGTAGTGGTGGTGGCGGCAGCAGCGGTGGTAGTCTCCTCGGAGGTTGCAGAAGGGGTGCTGGAGGATGACGTGGGCTCTGCGCTGGTGGTGGCTTGAGTCGAGGTCGCTGCAGTTGTGGCGTCGGGCGTGCCGGGTGCGGATGCAGAGCCGTCTTGTCTGCGGTGGAAGAAGCCTAGGGCATAGTCCTCGGCGTCGACGGGGAAGTTGGCGGCAGCAAAGGTGCACAGCAGGCACAGGGCCAGGAAGAGGGCCGAAAAGCCTCTCATGTTTGATGTGGAGGATGAGCGATGAGGATGTGCGGGCGGTGGTGGTAGTTGAGCAGATGAAAAGCTGCGGTGCCAAGCTGGGCCCTGAGTTGCAGCGATCGCAAGGTCCAAGCGTGGAAAGGAGAGAGGCCTGAATGCGGATTACGCGTCTGTCTCGTGGCAACGATGGGGCGAGCGGTGCGAAACGGCCGAAGCGGGTGCTGAGTGATGCGAAATGGTTGAGCGAGAGGCGTGGGGGTGAGCGAGAGAACAGTTGACGGCACAACGAAGGGACGGTAGGCAGTTATTGAATGAGGTGTGCGGGAGGAAAAGGCGTGGACACGAGACCGCGACCGCGAGGGTGGTAGGGCTAGGCCAGAAATAGCGCACGCCTCTGTCGCCCGTTGGCCAGAGCGGCGCCGGGTGAACCCCAAGGGAGCAGCGAGGCCACCTGCGCCGGCGTGTGACGCTGCAGGCGTTGCTCAGCGCGGATCTCAGGCTTCCAGGCCGACCGGCGGCCCTCCACCGCCCTGTTGGCGCCTCACTAGCGCCTGCCTCGGACGCCGGCTGCTGGCGCTGCCGCATGCAGGTGGCGTGCCCGGCTGCTGTCATCAGCAAATTCTGCCTGCCCGCCGCGCCTACAGCTGCCGTGCCTGAAGCTCCAGCAATGCGCGCCGACTGATTTCTCAGCACGCGACCTATTACACAACTACAATCCACCCTCGCCGACAGTATGGCCGCGACAATGCTCGACGCGTCGCTCACTACCCAAGAGGCCCTGAGCGGCGTCTTCGGCTCCATCTCGCTAGCCGCTTGGATCTTCCTTCTGGTATGTGCAATGCCGATACTTGCTCCTCGAATTCTTATGCGTTCCAGCGCCTAAAAAAAAACTATCGAGCTGACTGCCCATTCCCCAGGTTCCCCAACTGGTCGAGAACTACAAGCAGGGCTCGGCCGATGGAATCTCCATTGCCTTCCTCGCCGTCTGGTTCGTCGGTGACATCACCAACCTCATCGGCGCCGCCTGGGCTGGCCTGGTGCCCACCGTGGTAGCTCTCGCTGTATACTTCTGTTTCGCCGATCTCGTCCTGATCGCCCAATGCCTGTACTACAACATCCGAAACGCTCGCCGCGTGCGCAAGGTGTCCGAGGCTTCGTCGCGCGACAGCGTGGAGCAGCCGCTCCTGGGCCGCCGGGACAGCGACAACTTGGGCCTGCCCGGCTCGCGCCGTCGTTCCAGCGCCGCCTCCCGTCGCAGGGACAGCGCAGGCCACGTCGACGCATTGACGGGCATTGCCGAGGAAGAGGGCGGTGCCTCGGAGTGGAAGAAGAACACGCTGAGCATTCTGGGCGTGTGCCTGGCAGGTGCCGTCGGTTGGGCCGTCGCTTGGGCTACGGGGGTGTGGAGACCCACTCCCGTTGATGCCGGAGCTGGCAACGAGGAGATTGCTCCGGGCGCTCAGGTCCTGGGTTACGCCAGCGCCGTGTGTTACCTCGGTGCTCGCCTGCCGCAGATCTACAAGAACTGGCGGGAGCAGTCCTGCGAGGGTCTGTCCTTGTTATTTTTCCTGCTGTCCCTGCTGGGCAACCTGACGTATGGCATGGGGGTAAGTCACCACCGGCGCATGGACCACGAGCTCTTGCACTGACGTTTCCTAGATCCTGTTTCACTCTCTCGAAAAGGAGTATTTCTTGATCAACCTGCCGTGGCTGATTGGCTCGCTGGGAACAATGGTCGAAGACGTCACCATCTTTTTCCAGTTCCGCCTCTACGGCGACAAGTCCCAGCAGTCTGCAGCCGTATAATTTCGTGACTTATGGATAGACGGGCATCGATAACAGGAAAACGGCAATGGACAACGGAAAGATGAGGATACCCGCCTGGAGAATCCGGCACAAGGGTACGAACAATCTCTCGCGGTACTCGCTGTATTATACATCATGCATGGGATGTGGGGGTGCTCGGCGTTGGGGTTGATTCAAGGAGGGTTAAAAAAAAGTTATTGTTTGTCTTTTACAGGAGAACTAGATCAGCTGTAGAGAGTAGTCATTATACATTCTTTGAGCAAGCTAAAATTGTTGTCTGCGGTCAGGGACTGGATTTAGGAGCGGGTCATTACATCATGGGGGCTGTGCACTATACTTGTTTTGCTGTTGCATGGCAACGGCTGTACCCTGGCGTCAACGTGTTGATCCGGGCCCAGGGTGCTGGACCAATTTAGCTCACCCCGCCGTTTGTAGCAACTGAATTCCACTTTTATCACTCGTACCCTGCCCCCCTGTGCCAACTTGATAGGTTGTCTCTCTCGGAGCTTCTTCATTCCATGTAGGACTACATCTCGGTGTGGTGCCAAGTCATCACTATCGGAAAATCACCAATGACTCACCATGAGGGCAGACAATCCAAGTCGCTTGTAGCACAAGTGACTCCAGAGATACTTGTCCATCCGATATCGCTCCTTACTCCGTCTTTCACCGCCAGGACAGGCCATGTTGCGGATAAGCGGGTATTGGTCCGGTCTATGATCATTGGTAACCTTGGCCTGTCGTGAACCGGCACTCGGGTTTAGGTTCTGTGATGCGTGTCCAAGAAGAGCTGGGTCCGTAAAATAACACCACTTTCGTTTGTTTAGAGAGGGATGGAAAGCAGCAAAGAGAAAAGAAAGGCTAAAGAGGTGGCAGCCAATGACGATGCAACGTCGTCCAGGAGTAGATTATGTAATGGCACCAAGGGATAGACCACAGACCAAATAAACCTCAGCTTCCCGCAATGTGGGGAAGTCTCCGAGCCTCGGTTGCATGTCCGAGCAAGACGTCATTGGGGTTCATGGATCTGAACAGCAAAACGCTGAGGAGGAGAGTATATTTGGTCACTTTTGCGTCCTCCTGCGCGCACCGTACATACCAAACGTGACGGAAGTTTCTTCAAGACGTCGGCAACCGAATGGACCGAAGAGAAAGTGAAGCAGACTGAAGCAGACTGAGGCTCCCTCTGGATATTGTCGGCTCGGCTAGACTCGGGTTTAGACGTAATTCTCACCCTTCGGTGAGCGAGAGCACAATCATGTGGTGGCCCATCGGGGCTAGCGAAATGCCACGCACAAGCGGCCACATTTTGCTTGGGGTCTGTAGCAGTCGCAATTTTCTCATGGGGCAACTTTTGATCTGAATCTGCAGGCCGCCACCGCCGCGTCTTCAGCCATTGAGCCGCAACTGCACTCGGCCCTGCAGTCACAGGGGCAATGCGGCCGGCCATTTGCCGGCTCAAGCGCCCCAACTCGCGAGGAAGACCGGTGTCGCTGACCCGTTGTCGTTTGTTGGCGCGCCCTATGCTCGCCCTAGCCGCATTCCGCGCCTTAGATAAGAGTCACTCTTCCCCGGTTGCAAGTGGAGCTCTGTCACGCAGGTATAAAACACTCTCTCTGAACCTCGTCTCTTCTCATCTGCGGTCGATTATTTTTTTTTTATCCAGCCCACTGTCCAATTGGCCGTGTCTCGCAGCGCTCTGAGTTGTGATCGATCCCTTTCCGATCCCCAGTCTTCCCCCCCTGCTCCTACCGATACCGCAGACCTCATACCAGACGCCGACCATGTCTCCCTCGGCCGTCAACCCCACCACCGTCTCCGGCCTGACCGAGGCGGGCATTGAGCACCACATCGTCGAGCACCCGCCGTCCAGCGCCTCCAACGGACCCGAGCTGGCCAAACTCGATGCCTCCAAGCTCACCACCACCTTCACCACGGCGCCGCGCCCCGTCCCGGAGCCCAACTCGCCCGAGGTGCTGGCGCAAAAGGTGTGCACCGACCACATGATCACCGTGTCGTGGACGGCGGACTACGGCTGGCACACGCCGGAGCTCAAGCCGTACGGGCCGCTCTCGCTGATGCCGACGGCATCCTGCCTGCACTACGCCACCGAGTGCTTCGAGGGCATGAAGCTGTACCGCGGCTTCGACGGCAAGCTGCGCCTCTTCCGGCCCGACCGCAACGCCGCGCGACTCCTCACGTCGGCCAACCGCATCTCGCTCCCTCCCTTCGACCCGGCGGAGCTGGAGACGCTCGTCGCCAAGCTCTGCGCGGTCGACGGGCCCAAGTGGCTGCCGGCGGGCTCGCGGGCGGGGCAGTTCCTCTACATCCGGCCGACCTTCATCGCCGACGACGAGGCGCTCGGGGTCAACGTGCCCAAGCGCGCGCTGCTGTACGTCATCATCTGCAACTTCCCCAACCTCGACAAGCCGACGGGGTCGCTCGCCACGCCGGGGCTCAAGCTGCTGGCCTCGCGCGACGACATGGTGCGCGCCTGGCCGGGCGGCTTCGGCTACGCCAAGCTCGGCGCCAACTACGGGCCCAGCCTCATCGCGCAGGGCGAGGCGCGCGCCCGCGGCTTCGACCAGATCCTCTGGCTGCTCGGGCCCGACTCGCTCGTCACCGAGGCCGGCGCGTCCAACTTCTTCGTCGTCTGGCGCGCTGGGGGCAGCGACAACAACAAGCTCCAGCTCGTCACGGCGCCGCTCGACGACCGCATCATCCTCGACGGCGTGACGCGGCGCTCGGTGCTGGAGCTCGCGCGCACGCGGCTGGCGGGCAGCGGCGGGTGGGCGGGCGCCGACGCCGCCGAGGAGACGCTCGAGGGGCTGGAGATTGTGGAGCGCAAGTTCACCATGGCCGAGGTGGAGGAGGCGGCGGCCGAGGGGAGGCTCGTCGAGGCGTTTGCGGCCGGCACCGCCTTCTTCATCGCGCCCGTGGGCTTGATTCACTTCCGCGGCAAGGACATCGAGGTGCCGCTCGCGGCGGGCGAGACGGGCAAGTACGCGCACGTCATCAAGACTTGGTTGCGCAACATCATGTACGGCAAGGAGAGCCACGAGTGGGCTCGCGTCGTGCCCGACGAGGGCGTCGAGGCTTGATGTTGGAGCTGGGAGGAGGTGGAAGGAGATTAATGATTGTTCTTTTGCAGGTCTGGGAAGCCGGCGTTAAAAAGTGGTCGTTGTAGACTAGAAGGCCTGGTCAGCAGCAGCATGTGCTATGGATTTCTGGATTTCTGGACATTATTCTGACCTGGAATCTCATCACGTCGTGAGCCACACGGCAGGTGAATGAGCCGAAGTGGTTAGAGGGATTGGCCCTGCAGCTGCAAGGTGATGCCTTTTAGCGCCATGCAAGAAATCAATGCAGCCAATTCCAGAAGCGCATGGCCGGGCGCGCTCTCCGGCCTCGGCCATTCGATGGTTGGCTGGGGGGAGCTCTGCAGATGCAGCTTGTGTCACTCGCCGGGACAGCACCCACGGTACACTTGGACGCAGCATCCGGACCGTTCGAGCAACACGGCCAGCGCGGTGCGTTTCAGTCTGATCATCCCAGCAGTGAGGGGCTCGGCCAGAAATAGCATCGACTGGAGATGTGCCCTGCGCGGGTCCCTCCGCCGGGACATCCGCATCGGGCAACTGCGCTGCTGCGGGACGGAACAGCACACGGCTGCTCTCCTGCGTGCCCCTGCTGGCGATGCATGTCAGCGACCGCGCAACCGTGGTTCGCGGGCCAAGTGTGCGCGTCGTGCCGCCCCACGGTTGAGTTGGGAAAAACAATGTGCAGCGGTGACTCCATTTCTCACCGTCCAGCCGTGGTTGCCGCTACGCCTCATCCCCCACATGGCGCCGTCCCTTCCTTCGCTACCAAGCCGTTTTTATACCCCGTCACCGCCTGTCCCAACCGCTAACCCGCCGCCCGAGCCTGCTGACCTGCCATATTCCTCTGACCACGCCTGTCCCTGCCGCGGCACGTGGGATGCGCCACACACGTTTGCCCTTGCCCGTCGCGCTGCACACCCACCCGGGAAACTGACGTCCGCCGTACCGCTCTTTCCCTCCATCACACTTCCCCAACACGGCCGACAGGAGCATTATCCACGGCGGGAATTGCCCACGACACCATAGCCTCGGTCCGCTGGATACACGCACATCGACCATCCGCCGGGCGCCGCGCCGGCCCCCCCGAGATATTGAATCCAAAAGCCTATTGTCCACCGCTCTAACCATTCGCAGTAATCGACCGGTACCTGAGCGCCGCCGGTACCAGACCTCAAAGCCCAAGAAACGCACGTATCATGCCGCCACACGCGGCGCATCGCGCGCGTGGCAACCCACACCCACCACCCCCAACCCCCGGCCCCTCCGCCTTGATCCCCTCCCCTCCCACAAGGCCCCCCGATTGGAAATTCCCCTTCCCTTTAGGCTGCCCGCTTCCCGCATCCGTGGTTAGCATGCCGGGAGGTCAACCAGAAGACTGATTGCGACGTTCGAACTTGACACTCAGGCCTTGTCTCTTTCCCTTTGTTGCCCCCGACGACCGACGCTTGCGGCCGACAGGTAGGTAGCCTGCTCTTCCCACGAAAGGAGGGTGGTGCGCTCCGTGACTTGCTCCCGGACTATTGGTTCGAAGGAAGTCGACGGTCTACATGTATACACCGCACTGGCCTCGGGCCTGGTGGGATGCATGGCTGCTGCTGGTTTTCCCCCTTCCTTTCGTTGTCTCTTTTTTCTTTCCCCTCTTCCATTGACCCGTCAGTGTGGTATCGTCCCCGGGTGCGTGGGTGGTGGGTCTTTGACGCAAAGGTTATTAATAGCACTGGTCTCATAGGCGAGTTACTTCCCTACATGCATGCAAAAAGCCCATGGTCTAGAGCGACAACGACGACGACAACCGTATTTCCGCTCATGATGCGCTGTCCTCACCCTAGCCCCTCGAGGTGAAACTGCCTTTCATTCATCTTGTCTGGCATCCACCCGGTGGGGCTGAAACTTGAGATCGATGCCTTTGACGGGCTGTGTTTCACTTGTTTAGGCTTCACGGCGCCGCCGCCGGCTGGCCGGCTGGCTGGGGTTCCATGTGCCTGAACACATGCATTCATGCATGCGAATAGCGTTCGTCGGTGCTTTTTGCCGGGTGTGGCGCGCTTCTTACGCTGAGTTGTTTTCCTTTTTCCCTTCTGGACTTGACGCCGCAACGACTGCGTGAAGGTTGACTGATAAATAAACATCTACATCTGGACGATAGCTTCAACTACATGGCACGATCTTTTTTCCATTATTCCGTAAGATAATAATAATTAAGAAACCAAGGCAAATTTGCGCTATGTTGTAGGGCCCTGCCATCTTCCGCGCTGGCTATCAGATGCAACACCCTCTGTACATTCAGTCGATGCCATTTAGGACAAGGAATACACAGGACAACAGGTGCCAATGGCCACGCAGCGGATATCTTCTGTATTATCTGGGCTGACTTACACCTGCCGATATTGCCATGAAAGCACCTTCTGGGTGAATACTGCAGGCAATGATCATGTGTACTCATGACGGAGGACTCCTGCTCTGCTGACCCCTCATCGCTCGATCAAAACCTCGCACCCCGTGCCAGTGTGTCCCTCATTACATGGCGCCGGACTTTATTTCCAGAGCAAGTACCGGCCGGCCCTCTATAAAAGTGTTCTGCCTGCTTTCTCTATACGAGGTCCCCGATACACCATTGTAGAGGCATCGTTGGCTCAAGATACAACACCGTCGTTCACCCTCCCGATGTTGCAGTTGGCAGACGAAGCTATCATGCTCTCAGACTGAGGTCTAACCGGACATGCACTTCGTCATCTCTCGACGATGATGATGATGATGATGATGCTGAGCATCTTTTCCAGTCGTTGTCGCTGCTCATCATTAATCACCTGGCAACACATACAATCGCAACCACCACACGAATTCAAATCCCCTCGGTCGCTCGAGAAAAAAACAAAAAGCAAAGAAGAAAAGTGGCCGCAACCTTTGAATGTTGAATTACACACTCATCATCTAACCATTCGGTCCCGATGCCCCAATCAATTCCCTTTCCAAAAAGTTCACCATCGGTCCCCCACATCTCGTTATTATACCAGCCACAAGCACCTCCACGTGCCTCGAACACACTCCCCCCCCGACGCATCATCATCCAGCAGCACCACCGAGCATTCCTTCCAGCAACGTGACCTGCCCTCCTGCCCTCCCTTCCCTCAAACCAACTTCTCTCTCTACATAAAAACCTTAGGCTTCCCGTAACCGCTACTAGCTTCCCGCAGCACGACGTCACGTCGTGATCCATCGCCATATCTTTGCTGCCCGCCCGCTGGGTGTACGCTTTACTGTACTTGGCTCTTCTCTGCGAGGTAGAGTCCAAGTTTACTGGCTGCCGCGCGCCGCCCCCGCAGGCCGGACATGACAGCTGTATGTATGTACATCAGGAAGGAAGGACTGGTCGCCGCTGGATGGTCGGAGCTGGGGGGCGTTGAGAGGGAGGGAGGGAAAGGGAAGGGGTGGGTGGTGAGCCCCGTCGGCATGTCGAGTCGGTGTGCTGTATCGTCGTTGTTGAGAGGTGGGTGGTGTGGTGCTTCAAAGTAGCAGTAGCAGCAGCATCATCATTATCAACAACATCATCAACATCATCATCATCAGCACCATCATACACCCTATCATCAACATCATCATCATCAACATCATCAACACCATCATCAACACCATGCATGGAGCCTTATGGAAGCATATGTACATACAACGCACGCCAGCTGCCCACCAAGTGAAGCGGACAGAGAGAGAGAAGAACAAGAAAAAAAAAGATGAATTGTGTGCCTGAAAAAAAAAACACAAGAACCACGCTCAATATCGGTCGTAAATCTCCAGTCCCCGATTCCCCTCCACCTCAACTCACCTCACCTGATCACCCCACCAACGACAACCCCTCAAACGCCTTCACGACCGGGGCCTCCTTCTTCCTCCCCTCCGCCATCACCGCATCCCAATAAACCCCATCCGCCCCCGTCATCTGCACCTCGCCCTCCACTTTATCCTTCCCCTCCTCCTCCTGACGGTCCCCCAGCCCCCAAACCTCCCCCACACACCCCCCACACGCCCCCACCACCTCCCCCATCGCGCCCTCCACTGCCCCCGCCCGCTCCCTCATCCCCCTCCTCATCAGCCCCTCGACCAGCCTCCCCACCTCGCCGTTGATCTGATTGACGCGCTCGATCAGCCGGCCGATGGAATTGACCAGGTACTCCTCCTCGTAGACGCTGCCCTTCTTGCCGCGCGCGCGCTTGCGCTCCTCCCGCCGGCGGTTCTTGCTCGTCTTGCGCGTCGTCGCCGTGTTGAGCGTCGAGCCGCTGCGGTTGGTGTAGCGCGTCATGAACGTGCCGGCCGACGTCGTCGCGTCCGTCGGCGCGAGGGAGACGTCGTCCGGGATCAAGTCCGCAGCGCCTGCGGTGCCGGCACCACCGCCGTCGAAGAAGGCGAGCGGGTCTTCCTTCTTCTTGACCCGCAGCTCGCGCAGCCGCGGCACCTGCGCCGCCAGCTGGCCCTTGCAGTCGGCCAGCAGCTCCGTCATGCTGGCCGAGCCCTCGACGAGGCCCGGGTCGACGACCTGGTCCACGAGGTCGGGCCGGCCGCGCATGCCGACGACGCGCAGCGCCTCGGCGAAGTGGTAGCCCTTGCACAGCGTGCGCGCCGCGCCCTCGAGGTCGGAGAGGTAGTCGAGCTGGATGGTGGCGGACGCGGCGAATTCCTTCGTCTCGGCGAGGCCGGACGCGAGGCTTTCGGCGAGGGAGCGGAGCTCGTCGGCGGGGAGGGGGACAGAGGTGGCGCAGGAGAGGGATTCGCGCCACATGTTGGCGGCGCGGTAGGCGGTGGTGGCGGAGGCGAAGTCGGAGAGGTATTCGAATGCTGCGGTGAGTGGTTAGCGGGGCTGGGGGGGTCTTGCTGAAGTGGTGCTTTGGGGGGGAGGGGAGTAGTGATTTGGTAGGTGACTTACCGATGCCCGCCTCTTTGTACCTGTTCCGGCTGTCGAGATACGCCGCATAGAGCCTCATGATATCGTTCAGCCGGTCAGGCTGGTACTTGTGCAGCGCGATGGCGTCGCTGTACAGCTCGTGCTTCTCCGCGTACGCCTTAAGCTCGTCGAACGCATCCAGCTCGTGCAGGTGCGCGATCGCCTTCGTCCGCCTGCCGAGGTTGTCGTCGATGGTGAATCGGCGGCGGAGCAACTCCATCTCCTGAAGGCTCTGCAGGTACGGCAGATATTCCCTCGGGTCTTTTTGCGACTGCTGAGCAATGAGCAGCGCGACGTCGAGGTTGTACATGCCCAGCGCGTGGTCATATAGCTGGTTGACGTCCGCGAGGAAGCAAATGTGCTCGGCTGCCCTCTCGGCCAGGCTGGTGTCCTGCTCCCTGAGCTTCGCGACGACGCCAAGTCCGCCCTCAAGGTCGGGGGGAGTCTTGCAGACGTTTGCCGTGACGATGTTCTGAAGATTCGTCTCCGTGCGCTTCTGGAGAACCGCGAGGAAAGCGTCACAAATCCTGTTGACCTTGGTGGAGACGTCGAAGCTTGATTCATTGCTTGAAGCACCACTTGTCACGGCACCGCCGTTTGGCCTCTTCACGGTCTCCTTGTACATGGTCTGCGTCACGTCTTCATTCCTTTTGTTGAAGTCAGTCACCATGGGGAGATCGGATGGTAGAGAGAGTACTGTACCGTAATTGGGAGAGGAATAAATCGACGTGCGTGAACTTCTTGAGCTGGTCGAGGAGGAGCTGAGTGTTGGCCATGAATTGGTCCGGCATGTGGTCATGGAGAATGTTCATGTCAACTCGTTGGTTACGACAAGCCATGAAAGCTCTCTTGTACTTCTTCTCGGCAATGCTCTTGCGGATTCCTGCGACGACCAAGGCTCGGGGGAAGATGGTCTCGAGATTCCCTCTGGGCATCTGTAGGACAACCGAGTAAGACGTGGGCATCACTGAGACCAGACGAGCACCTCGCTCAACGCTGCGGCAACGCTCGTCCTTTTCCGGCTCGTCAGGAGGGACCTCGAGTTCTGCAACTGGTTAGCAAAAGTACCCAATCCCTTTCCGCACATATCCTACAGACCTTCAACAGAGGCGAGATGCACGAATTTGAGAAGATGTTGTGTTGTGGTGAAGACAAGATGTGCCGGAGTCACTCTAAAAGACGTGCAGTTTTTCACCAGCAGTCTTCCGTTGGCATACAGTGATCCGTTTGCTGTCAGGCCGAACGCAATATCCTGTCCAGGTTCAGTTCAGAAGGGCGTTTCCATGGGGCGGATCGAGAAACATACCTCGTCGTCGTGTGACACCACCTCAACCCACGCCGGCCTGGTCGGGAATTTAGAGACAGGGGAAGGCCCATCCAGAACCTCTGAGTCAATGCAAGACACCGAGCCACCCTCATCCATGGTAAGGAGCTTGCTGTAATCAACAGAAGCCACGACGGTATGCAATCGTGGAGAGTCCATTGGAATCATGGTGAAGCCCTCCTGGTCCAGGGTCTTGTAGAAGACAACGCTTTCGCCAATATCGTCGTTGTCAAGAAGGACGAAAATCTCGGAATCGCCCCGGAACGCAACTTGACGAGGCCTGGCTGTGGGATCTTCGATGGTATAGCGAGTCTCAAGGACCGGGTCTTGTGCTTCTTTACTTGATATGCTGTATTTGTACACGCAGACTTCATTTTCGTGCAAGGCAGCAATGAGTGTGCTCGCGGAGTTGATCGCCACGTCAATGGCGTTGCTCTCAAGCAGCACTTCATGCAGAGCCATTGGAGGGGGAACGTTTGCGAGCCGCAGAGGCGTCACCCTCAGCGTTCCTAGTCATTGTCAAAATATACTTTGCGAGCTTGGCATTCCTAGACTTACTGCCATCGATGACCGCAACTGTGCCGAAATCGTCGGGCTGCACCGCGGAAGAAGCTGCCACAGAGAAGACATATTCAAGAGTTTCCGAAACATCTGCCAAACCGTCAGTCGTCCTGTACAAGAGCAGCCAGAGCGTTGGTTTTACACGGCGTAGAAAGTGCCAGCCTCAGTGCCTTTTCAGGGTTCCACCGAGGCTGCACAGCAGAAGTCGAGTTCAAGTCCTCACTGAGCCGGATCTCCTGCTTGAGGTAGTAGTGATAGTTGCCCATGGTCCAGATCTGGACTCTGTCTTTGAAGCATACAGTGAGAGCAGTGGAGTCGGTGTTCCAAGCAAGCGAGATGTTGCTGCCCCAGCTGTTCATCTCGTCGGGCGTCAGCCTGAGGCTGAACTCACCGTGGCGCAGTCCGTTACGCTCGAAGAACACGACATCGATGCGGTCATCGCGGCGCTGCACTCCGGCGATGATGTTACCTGCCGGCCTCCAGCTAAGGGCGCCCTCGAGATAGTCGACCGGCTCGCTCACGCTGTCAAGCGCTCCTTCTCTCGAATACACGCGGACCATGCGCCTCTCGTCCGACTCGACAGAGTTCACGGCAAGATAGGCGCCGTCTCCTCTCCAAGTGAGGGTGACGCTCTGGTCATCGAGGGGGCTCAGCAGACCCTGGTCGACCTTCTCGGGCATAGTAGGGTCGCGGAGAGCCTTGGCCCGCTTGCCCTTGAACTGGGTCTCGGCCTTGCCCCATCCGACAGACACGTGGTTCGAGGCGCGGATGTCGTCCGGGGTGAAGGAGATGTTGGAGACATTCTCAAAGTCGCGGGTCATGTACAGCAGGGTGTTGGCGCGGGTGGTGATGGCCAGCAGCTCTTCGTCGGGCGACCAAGCGGCGGCGGTGATGCCAGCATCGACGGAGCCGACGATTTCAATCATGTCCTCGCCGTGCAGCGGCTCCTCGCGGACAATGACGATGTCGCCGCCGGCGAGCACCAGGCATGCCGTCAGCGTGTCGGGGAAATACTGCAGACTCACGACGCAGTCGCAGGCCAGCTCGGGCAGCGGGCACGGGGCGTCCCAGGAGGCGATCAGGGAGAAGGCATCCGGGGCGGTGCTGGCGTCGTCTTGCAGGCGCTTGAGCTCGATGACGGCACTTGACTCAGACGGGCCAAAGGTGCAGATTAGCGAGTCCGCGGACGTGTCCCATGCGGTTGCAGTGAGCGGCAGGGCGTCGGCGGGGACTCTGCGGACGGCGTTCCGCACACACCTCAGGTTGCGCATGGCGAGGTCCGCGCGGTGGGTTAGTGACGGGGTGTGGTGGTTTTCTATGGCGGTCGTGGCTGGCTGGCGAATCAAAATTTCGAGGATTCCAGGGCGCTAGTCAGCCGAAGCGTCGCATGCCAAGCCCTGCACTTCACCATGACGTCCACGGCCACGCCCTGGCATTGTGGTGTTCCGAATGCACGAGAATCAATTCATCTAGAAGCAGCCGCCTGGGAGCGTTTCCTTTTGTACAATTGCAGTGTCCACGCGAGCCTCGCTGCGCCGTGCTGCTCCAGACCTGCGCGACGCCCCCTCCTGTCCAGAATTCCACTCGACTGCAGTCTACTGGTCCTTCTTCGTCTGCCAGACTGTGTGTGGGAGCTTGCATCAGTACGGCGGCGGCCAGGGCGCGGGGACGCGGGAGCTGCTCACCAGCAATGCCGACGGGCGCGAAGAAGCCGACAGCTGCACCACGGTTAGCCTCGCATCCGCAGTCGCTTCATTGCCACAGCTCACCCATGAACGACCAGTAGCGCACGGCGAAGAACTTGGTCAGCGGGTTGAAGGGCAGGTTGCTCTGCAGCGCAGTCAGTGGATGGCCGTCGGAGCTCTCGGGGGAGCGGATGGACGCACGCGGGGACCCTATCGGTTCAGTCAGCACGACGCATCAGCCAAAGCGACGCGGGCAGGGCAACGCACCTCGGGGTAGTGGTAGGGCGAAGAGAGCCTGGCGCGGGTGGCGGAGAAGGCCCTCTTCTGGACCAGCTGGGCAGCGCGGACGGTGGGGCGGGACAGCATCTGCGGGCGTCAGTCGAGTGCAAGCAGCAGCCAATGCCATGTGCGACATGGTGGGCACGTACTTTGGCAGCGTGGGGACGGCCGGGTCGGGGCGATGAGTGGAGATGTGTGTGGTATAGCGGGCAAAGGGTGAGGCTGGCCGCATCGCATGATGGCGCGAAGTCGCGAGCCACGGCTGAACTGCGGCACCACCAACCTCGTCCACCGAATCCACCCCGGCTGAAGCTCTCCTCGGCCACAGATACCTCACGTGTGGCGCAGGGCAGCGGGTTTGCGAGAAACAGAGGCCCGGATGCCAAGCAGCCATCGAGAGCATCGCTCAAGCCAGGCTTCACGAAGAATGCCGAGCATGCATCTCTTTCAATGGCGACACATTGCAGCCGCATATCAAAACACCTTGGCAAGAAGTCCCATTTGAATCTGCAAAAGCTCCTGCTACCTAGACACCGCCGCAGAGCTCCCATCATCCAAAGATGCTGTGTGGACGACCAGGTAATCCCCTTTGCGTTTCCAACAATACGATTTTCCTAACCACGGTGCAGGGTGGTCTCCATGCTTTTCCTGCAAAGGAGACGGCGGAAGTGGGCTGATTTTCTCATACCTTGTCCTTTTACTCGATACGTATCCCCTACAACGTATTTCGTCGTCGTCATTTCGCCCTGGACGCAATGAACGGACACCCATAGCCAGCATGCACTCCTCTTCACCAACGGCAGGGACTACACTGCAGCGTGCACTTTCGATTTCGCCAAGCCGCCAGCCTACTGCGACAAGTTGGCGCTGAGGGGTGCCAGGGGCCGCACGACGTCTACGCAGACATGGTCGTACTTCTCGTCGTCGGCCTCACGCAACGCAGTCGCATCCAGGGCTTGTACGGTACGCGTACAGCCGTACTGGAACGGGCATGGCTGCCCGTGGATGCAGCGCCCCTCGCTGCTGCCCCACAGCCACACCAGTTCAGAGGCATCCCGGGCCAGCTCGCCGCGCTGCATCCCGAGGGCTCCGAGTGCAGCCTTGTCTACGCCGACAACCCCCTTAGCGGTTCGACGGGGGTTTGACTGGACGCAGCCGTGCGCACGACATACGGAGCTGCCGCCGGCGCCGTTGTCAATCCGACGCCGCACCGAGTGTGGCCTTCACCGACGGTACGGAACGTGGCCATGTGGAGGAATCCATAAGCAAGTATACCCCGCGGGATCCGGGCTTCCATCGAGGACCGGGTGATTCGGAGCAGAGTGCAGAGTTGGGTGAAGAAGCTGGGGTGCGTTGTCTGATGGCTTGTGGGACCCGGCTTGAGGCATGTTTGGACGCGGCCGTCGCTTGACAAAAGGGAGAAACCCTGCACAAGTAAGCTCCTGCCGCGCAAGTGGGCGAAAAGGAAGGAAGTTGCAACCACGGAGCACTGGACGACGGGTTGTGTCCATCTGGATACGTCTCTGAGGCTGTTGACGCAAGATGCTTTTGGCGTCTCGTGCGTGCGTGGCACATCGGTTTCGCTTATGAAGCATGCTATCACATCACACGCCAAGATGGAAATTACAACATCTCATCGGCGATACTCACGAGTCACACCCAGCCTTGCGACGCCTGCCTTGTGACCATCTCCCCTAGACTCGGAAATGCTTGGACGAGCAGCCTGTCGCGGTTGCTGCTAGGGGACGTGGCACCGTAGGCTGCAATCCAGCGTGCACTCGTATACACATGAGGCACCTTCGGCAACTGTAGTAAATAACAGTTAGTGTGGTGGGTCTCAGCGCTTCGCCAGACCCCGCGACTCGTTTCAATCTTCACAACGAACTGTGGAAAACATCCTCGGCGCCGCGAGAATCTATGCCGAACAACTGATGGCAACGCTTTTTTGATTGAGCCTTTTTCTCCAATGGCTTGCAAGTACACCTCCCCTATCGGCCAGCCGCAACTGCCCCTCCAGCTGTGGGTCTACGAACATGGGGGTTAGGTTACACAGCAGTTGTCAGCCACCAGTGAGATGCCTTTGTGTCCTCAGTCGTGCCACTTGGAAGGACATCTGACCCTCTGCCTTGACTCCATAATTTCTCCCGCCTGATTACTCTCTGCTTCCCCCTGCCTACAGAAGATTGACCCAAACTTCTTTTCTTGTTCACTTCTTGGTAGACCGCCGCTTTGACATTTGAGAAATGGCCTCTACGAGCTTTTGTCGTCGTTTCCCAACAGGTCCTTCGTATATCATCCAACCATGATGACGCAAACCCAGAGCCATGCCTGTAAGTGGACCATTGACCCATAGTGGGGCTCACCGGATGATGCGTCGGAACAGGTTAATATACAAAATCCGACGTTCCAAGTAGCGGGCGTGATTCCTCTTGTGGAGAGAGCCGCATCAATGTGAAAATTTCGAGGCCGATTCCGTTTCCGGATCCCATCCGTTTCTCGCCCTTGACTTCAGCCTTCTCACTCACCACCAAACAAGGAGTCACAAGCCCATGCATAGCCACAATACCTTCCAAGGCAGACCTGGGTGCACTTGCAGTGTACACTGTTCAGCCTTCTCCATCCGACGTCTTCCCGCCATGCTGGGAGACGAGGCTGAAAGCCTGGCAGGTATAAACTGGAATCCAACTCCAGACATGTCTTTTATTCCCGGTTCATGACTGCCCCGTCTTCCAGTCCCATATTCCCGTCAAGCTTCCATGAGAGCAAACCATGTCGAGCTCGCCAACCCACCGGCCTGCGCCAGCACCGATACCAACTTTGCCGGAGGGGAATAGTCCCAGTATCCCGATGGCTACCTTCTCACCCTATGCTCCAGCAGCAGGCGCTCATGAACCCGCTCCCACGACGGGCAGCTCTCAACAGTCAGCTCAGCCATCAGGCGACACACCACCACAGCCTCCAGTTCCCGGCTACCCGTTACTCGCCGACCACATGGGTCGAATGCCACAGATTGCCATATTCAGGCGCTTTGGTGCCATCAACACCTTGGATCTCCTGTACAGACAGGCAGAACTAAAGCGCATGGAGAAGGAACTCCGTGAAGAGCAAGAAAAAAGTGCCAATATGTCTGGGGATCCAGGGGACTACGCTATCAATTCGTATCTCCTTGAAGATGACGATGGCGAGCAGTGGAAGGTGTTCAAGAAGATACGCATTAAACTCAAAGAGTATAGTAAGTACATCAGTTGGGCCGTTTTCACCATTTCCTCGCTCTTGGCTTACTTGAGCTGTCGTCCCAGACGAAGCCCTCGCCTTGCAGATGACAATCCTTTCAGCCGACACGCCCAGCAATTACGACCTCCGCTGGTTGCAACACTTCCTCTGGTCCGAAGCAATGGGAGGCGGGATCCTGGGGCCTGATCGCAACATCTGGGGCCATCACGACGAATCAGTCAAGCACGAACCCGAACCCGACTTAGTGAGCTTACTTCCACAGCGGAACGAGGACTTCTTCTCCAAGTGGATGACCGAGAACGTCGTAACCTGGCTGCTTCATCTGGACAAAGAACGCAAGCCTGACAGGAGGCGCGGCGTCGTGAGCTACGAAAGCGACAAAGTGCTCCGATGGACGTTTGCCTTCTCGACCGCCATCGCATCAGTGCTGCCTGTCTTGTCCATCGCCATCCTTTACACTGTGCGTTCGCAAAAAGTGCGCCTCGCCCTCATCGCCGTTTTCAATGTCGCGCTGGCTTTCGCCATTTCCCTGCTGGCATCACCTCGCATTGTCGACACTTTTACCGCATCGTTCGCTTTCAGTGCCATCAACGTTATTTGGTTCAGCAGCTCCAACGCAACGGATGGGGCTTAACAAAGTCTATGATTCGAAACTCAACACCGGTGAGTGAAAAACGTCCGACCCTTGCCTTCCGATAAATACAAAAAAACTAACAGACTCGGCAGACCACTTCCCTTTCGTAGACCTCTTGCAATTTACAACACGCCACGATCCATTTTACCATAACCCCCGAGCCATCCACATATATGTCCGAGCTTTATACAACCAGAGGAGGCGCTTGGCCAAGATACTGTCAGATGAGGGGGGTGGATCGGAACCTCGATCTAGTTGCTGTCCTGGCTGGCCTCTCCACCATTGTTTTCCTTGTCACTGTCACCCCCTTGCCCTGGAATATCAGTTTTCTTCTTCTCGTCGGCGCACTCGTCACCGCTGCCTTTCTTGTCTTCCTCGTCTCCATTCCCCTCACCGCCCGTGCCGTTAGTCTTCTTCGACCCGCTGCTTCCCGCTGGCTGGCCGTTCTGCGATGCTTTCCCTTTCTTCGCTCCTTCCCTCCTCGCAATCTCTTCGTCGTGCTTTTTCGCCCTCGCCTCCCGCTCCTTCCACGTCTCTGCGGAGCCGACCATCGCCAATCAGCAATGATAACATATAATAGGCAAGGACAGACTAAGCACTCACCTTTCGACAAGACCCCATGCTTCGGGATACAATCCTTCCCCTTCCTCGGCCCCGTCGCCGGCCTGGCCCGCGGCTCCCACCCCGCAGCCTCGCACATCTGCCCCAACGCATCCGGAGCCACAGTAACCCGCACATCCCCCTTCCCCTCGCCGCCACCGCCACCCACCTCCGCCGCCGCCCCCACCACGAAAAACGTCCACTCCCACTCCCGCACCGCCGCACGCGCCGGACCCTCGCCTGCAGCGGCGGTGGTAGCCGTCGTCGTCGTCGTCGTCGTCGTCGTCGTCGTCGTCGTCGTCGTCGACCCGCCACCACCATCCAGCCGACACCTCAGCGCGATCTCCCCCCGCACGAGCAGCCCGTCCACGACGACCACGTCGGCGAACCAGTTGACGCAGGCGGCGAGGCGGCCGAGGTCGCGGGCGCGGATGACGTTGTGGGCGCGCGCGGGCGCGGAGGTGCTGGCGTGCGGGTCGACGACGACGGCCGTGGTCTCGACGATGATATTGGGGGTGGGGGTGTCGTTGGCACCATCGGCCCCCTGCTGCTGTTGCTGCTGCTGTTGCTCGGCTGGCGTAGCTCGCTTGGTGGCGGAGACGGTCATGCGTATGGGCGAGTGTTCCTGCGGGGGGTGTGAGCGCTTGTTTGGAAGGGGGGGAAAGAACATTCAGGGGGGGCTACGCTACGCCCCTTCGCGGCCGCGTGTCGTCTCTCAGCCTTTCGGGATCAACAAACCGACCAATCAATCAATCAATCACTTACCGGCGTCGTCGTCGTCGTCGTCGCCGCGCTGACACAGGGGATGTGGCAACACTTGAGGAAGAAGTTCAGGATGTTATCCGGCGCCATCGGGAACTTCGCTGCGAAGGGGTCAGACGAAGGCGTTGGTTGGGCAATTGGCAACAGTTCGGCCTGGACAATCATACGGCGGAGGGCATGGATCGTCGCTGCGGCCATGGCTGCTGTAGCTATGGGGTTTGGTGTTCTCAAACGACGGCGACGAAAAAGGTCTGGGGTGAGGACTCAGGAACTGACGCGCGAGGCTGACTTCTTCTTTGGCTGCGCGTGGGTTGTGGAGATGTATTGCAGGAGACGTGTGAGCGGTGCAGGTACAGGTACTGCTTCGCTCAACGGCGGGGTAGCGGCGGATCGGCCAGGCATCGAACGAGGCTGCTAGACGCCCGAGGAGAAGGAGTAGCGGTGTGCTCTTGGCTGTCTTGGGTTATCGGCTCATGCGCACAGAGGTTGTATGTAGTGTTCGGGCCGTTCGGTTGGGAGAGAACGCGGGGTACGTCTTCGAGGTTCCATGAGCAGGTTTTGGGATATGATGAATGTTGACCGAGCTTTCTGCGGACAAGACGCATCTGGATCGAGTACGTGAGGTTCATCGGAGCTCATCGAGGTTGAGATAGTCGGTCTGCACCTGCGTCTTGCCTGGGGATGCGCGGTCATGGCCACTGCGCAATGGCAGATGCCTGCTTCTGGAAGGAGAGTTCGAATGCGCCGGCGCTAGCTTGAACAACTCACCCAGCACCGGTCTTAAAGATGGTGATAAGTTCGCCGATTGGCGCTGAGAAGGTTTCTAGAGCAAAGCTTTGGCCAGTGCGGAGCCCGTTGAGCCTGCTGCCTGGCACATGAATCAATCAGTCAACATTTACTGAAGCGGCCCCTTTCAGCTTTTCCGTGGAGGTGGCCGTTGGGAGCATAGGGGCTACGCAAATGACGGGAGCTGCGCAAGAGACGGGGGCTGCTGGATTGCCCGCTACAGCCGAACCAGCGCGACCGCGAGAAGGTTCAGATTGCTGACTCTCAGCCTCATTACGTGCGGAGGTGCACCAGTGCAGCCCAAGCCACGCACGTCCCACCTAGATAGGGCGTAGCTGCACGAGCAAACGAACTTGGCAAGCTTCTCTCGATGCGGGTATTACCGAATATCTAGGGGAACGAGCGTTCAAGCCAAGACAGCGATCTCGAGCTGTTGGGTTACGCGCGGTGGTTCGGACACTGTCCAGTATCTCTGCCTCAGCCTCGGATACGACTGAGCAGCGGCGGCGGCGGCGGCGGCAACAACAGCAACAGAGTGACCTCTCAGGACCAGCTGACAAACACAAAGCACGAGGCCACAAAACATCGTCAAAAGTATCAGTTTTGACTTCAAGCAGCGCACATCGGGATAGATGCACGATGCCCCCGCGCGGCGCCGCTTGACTTCACAACATCTCTCTCTCCCTCGGCTTGGATTGACCGGCTGGACGGCAGGTGCATGAGCTCGACGTGGTGGAACTTCTGCGATTGAAGGACGAGTCGGGAACAGAATCACGACCGTGCCTGGCTAGCGAGCAGTAGCGCCTCGAGGATTCGATTGACGCAGACCCGAAGGTTCGTCCCATCTCCAAAAGTGAAGAGAGTCGGCAAGACCCGTTGCGCATATATGTTAGGACGGTGTACAATCGACTGCTATATATATATATTTTTTATGCATTTCAGCGACGAAAAAACAAAGCGCCTATATATGTATGTATGTCATATGATCCGATCCGCTAAACGGGCGCGGAACCGGGATGTTCGGAAAGTCCCGACCTCTACCGATCCCCAAACGTCGCCATACCTCATATGAGCCAGGCCCACGTTCTCTCAAATTTGACTGCCAAATCCCCCCCAAAGGAAGGACGCCACCATCAATACTGCGGCGCCCTTCGTTACCTCTCCCAACCCCCCCCACCTTTATTTCCTCACCTCCTCCTCCTCCGCCTCGTCTCTCCCCCCATGACCCCCTCCCCGAACCACCCCGCCCTCTTCTTCAAAACCACCAACATCCCCATCCCCATCCCCAAGCCCAAGCCCAAGCCCCCTCTCCTCATCCCCCAGCCCGCCCGCTCTCACACCCAACCCTCCCCCCCTCCCCCCCTCCCTCTTCCTCACCGCCACCACCACCGCACTCCCCAAAATGAGCCCACTCCCCGCCCACCCCCACCCATCCGGCCCCGTCCCAAACACGACCCGATCCCCCGCCAACGCGAACAACATCTGACAATACACCATATTCGTCGCGCGGCCACTACGCTCGTGCTGCAGTCCCGCCGCGAGCAAGAACTGCATCACGAAGCCGCAGACCCCCAAGAAAACCAGCAACGCCCAGTCGCTAGATGATGTGGGTAAGAGGAACGGGATGGAAGGGCTGACGAGCATGGCGACGAATGAGACGAACGTGCACCACGCGGCGAAGTAGTTGACGGAGATGAGGGCGTGGGCGCGGCGGCCGATCCAGCGGAGGGTGGTGAAGGCGGTGGCGGCGCCGAGGACGCCGACGAGGGCGACGGCGACGGCGGTGGCGCGCTGCGAGGGGGTGACGGAGGTGTAGTCGCCGGCGCTGGGGGAGGTGGAGGTGGTGGAGGGGGTGGCGGAGGAGGGGGGGGAGGGGGAGGAGAAGGTGAAGAGGGAGGCGGGGCGGGCGATGAGGACGACGCCGAGGAGGGAGATGAGGGCGCCGGTTTGCTCGGTGCGGGTGAAGGGCTCGTTGATGAGGATGGAGCAGGCGAAGCAGGCGAGGGAGGGCGCGAGGAAGGTGATGACGGTGGCGTCGGAGAGGGGGAGGTAGAGGAGCGAGTCTGGGGTGGTTGGGTTAGAGCGTGTGGGTGGGGGGAGCTGGATTGGGGTTGAGAGGGGGGGGACTCACAGTACACGCCGAACACGCCGAAAAATCCACCAAAGCCTCGTAGTACGAGCAGCCAGCGGACTTCTCTTGGCCCGAATGGTGCATGCTCGACTTTCGTCCACCACACATACAGCGAAGATAGTATTAATGTGATGCCCATGCGAGCAAAGAGAATCTTGGTGCGGCAAATAGATTAGCAATGTAGGAGGATGGTGTGTTGGGGTCTTACTTGGAATGGGTTATAGCCGTTTCCATCGTTGCCCTCTATCTCTAAGATTCTGGTGGCAATATTCATGGCGACGCCGAACAGTTGGGAGATAAGCACTAATATAAGTCCTTTGTTGTGTGACCACAATGCTTGGAGCCGGGTCCTCCACGTCTGCGGTCGTTTTTCAGAAAGCTCATCGTCACGAAATGATCGAGGCAGCAGGAAGGTCGAGGAAGTGGCGGTATGGGCGGAGGGATAGTCGTCCATGGAGAGAGCGGAAGGCGCGGGAGAGGCGGCACGGCAGTCAGGAGTGCGTGGAATGCTCAGACGCAAGCTTTGCCCAGAAGGCTTGGTGACAGGCACGCGGGCGAGGGCATCGTTCTCGACAACAGCAGCAAATGTAGCCGCGTCGCTGGCTGACCGGGGCTTCTTGCCCTCGTTTGTGGCGTTCGGCAACGGGCTCATGATGTCCTGTGGGGGTTGTGACCAGCTGCGGCTTGTGTTCCGTCCAAGCCGGCTGGCTGAAAATTATAGGATGGAGCAAGACGTCGTGGGACACGAGCTGTAGAAGAGGGGGGAGCGGGTTGGTGCTCAATGCGGAAGACTCTGGGGAAGCGGCGCAGTGGCACACGACCAGCGCGCACCCACGGCGCATCCAGACCATCAGAACGGCTGCCCATCACAGCCGTCCTCGGCATTTGCAAGGCGTGTGACTGGATGGGATGGTTGGCGGGACGGGAAGCGGGCCAATCGGCGGGTAAGCGGAAGTGGATTACGGCGCCAGGCGGCAAAGCGCATGCAGTCCTGTGATCGAGCCGCCGGGAGATCGGCGGTATCTTCTCTCGACGACCATGGCACTCCTGACCGGTGGGAACCAAAAGCGTGTGGATGTCTGGTTTCGGACCTCGTGATGGCGGTGGTGGTGGTGCGGCGGTGTATTAGTTTGGTGTCGCGTCCGGTTTCGGCCGGCTTATCTTATCTTCCCCCGCCCGACACATGCGCTCCTTCCTCCAGCTGCATCGCTCCCGCCCCGTCGTGAGCTGAGGTCAGCATGCCAAGGCCATTCGACCCCTCCGGCAACGACTTTCACCCCCGGGCCTGCCCTTCGGGTCACCGGGGCACCAGTTGTTCCGGTTTTTCTGGGCTGGAGGTACCTATATAAAGAGGCCCGCCTGCTGCCTCCCTCGATTTTTCTTCTTCATACTTGTAAGCCACCCTCTCCGCCCCCCCAACGTTTGATCAGAACACCTGCTAACATTCACAGACCTTGTTGGGGCTGCCGAGATCATGAAGTCGGTTGGCCTACCAGGCTACCCTGCATTGCACAGCGCGGAGGTGGCTTGGTATGAATCTCCTTAGGGGGCTTCACCGGCGCAATTTTTGATGGCTTTCCGCATCGCTCATTGCAAACTTTTCGTCGCTGTTCCCGCCTTGCGTGGGCCTACGAGGAAGAGTCTTCATCGTCACTGTCATCCGTGGCTGCCTGACCCATGGTTACTGGTGGCGCCCGTCTGCGGACCTGGGTTTGACATGTTGACGTGCTTGGGTGACGGGGCGGCTCATGTGTGACGGTGGGGGTGAAAGTTTTCCATGTCGCGATGTTGACGAACGGCCCTGCAACCTTTTCACCAACTCCACAGCTCATCTCAACGCTACGGTCAGCGACCGCTCTGGACGACGCTCCACCTCGACGATGTAGCTCAGAGTCCGCTACCTCCATGCGCATGCGGCATGTTCCTCCCGCACAATGTTGTCCGTCCACATTTCTGCGCATTCCCAACCTCGCACTCGTTTGACGAGAGCCGCGACCGCCGCCACCTTTCCCCACAGTGCTGCCACCTACCACAGTTCAGCATCGACCCACCGCTGCTGCATGTTGATGACGCCAACGCTCCGACGCACACGTCGAGCCTGATGGTACCCGGAGGAACATGGGCACCTGGGCTGACTGAGTCTACAGAGTCCTCTGACGCCTTTCGAGCCTACCGATCGTTTCCTTCAATTGCATTTACCACTCAACAAGGCGTCGAACTTTGGACTGAAAACGAAGCGCAAACAGCATCCGAACACACGGCAAAGCTTTTTCTGGAACGGTAACGAACGACACCGATCAACCATGAGCCAATACACAAAGACAAAGGGAACACTGCGAAAGCTCGGAGAGCAAGAGGTCGTGAGCCGCGATTGAATTGTCGCTGGCTGTTGTACGGTTCATGTCTGAAGGCTAGAATTAGCCTGCTTACGAGAGTAGCTGTAGGCAACAGCTCATCAGCCGCGTCTGGTCTTCAACTCTCCCAAGGCAACAGCCCTTCTTCCGTACTGCCCTTGCGATCCATTCGACCCACGCCCTTCTTCTACCTGGGCTGTATTGTCGCACATTGACCGGCATGATGATCGCCCTGCTGTGGATTTACATGGCCTGTGCGTCTACGGCCTGAGCTTGGCAGGTAGAGCGATGGAGAGCGCAAGCTGACCTGTACATTTGGAAGACCCTTCCTCTGGAGTTCGTCTTTTTCACCGCCCTGTTCCGAATCGTCGATACCGCAAGCCTTCATCCCTGTGCATCTCTCGCTTTGATATTTTCATTGCTTATGTGCCAATAGATCAAATATGTTCAACTGAAGACCAAAATCCCACTCGCAACCTCCACCACGACGATCCACCCCTCCAAGCAGCCCACCCAGTCCCTCTCTACCACAGCGTCGCCGCCACCTCCATAAACGCCTTCGCAACCACCTCGTGCACCGCCAGACCGGGGTGGTACGTGTCCGTCCAGACGCAGCTGGTGCCGTCGCCGCTCTGGCACGTGGCGTCGGCGGCGCCGTAGCTGGTGGGATCGTCGAGGACCGCCTCGAACGAGGGCGTCGTGTTGAAGACCTGGCCGCTGGCGCCGGCGTTGGCAGCCTTGAACGACGTCCAGCGCTCCTGCAGCGCCGCGTTGTAGTCGGCGATGTCGCTGCGCATCTGCGCGACTTTGGTCGCGTCTTGGCTGGCGAAGGCGGGGGCTTTGTCGAAGGCTGAGGAGGGGAGGGTTGGTTGTGTTAGCGGTGTTGTTTATCGGGGGGGGGGGGGGGGGGG